ATACTCCCCCTTTTAAAGGGTGACTAGGGATTGGGGGATGCAATCGCCAAATCCTGGTAGTGAAGAATCGTGTTGCTCATTCACCACCTTTTTTAATTCGGGCGATAGTGTAGAGTCATTAGTTTTTTTTTTTTTAAGCAGGAGTCATAAAAACTGTGCAGTGCCCTTGAACCTGGACCTCTCGAATACGCGCCGAGTGTGCTACCGTTACACCACGAAGGCATGCAGAAAGGCGGGAGAAAATACCTTATAAAGTCACTGGAACTAGTATGTGCTTTATGAGAAGCATTCGAAGATTAACTCTCGCAAGTATTAAAGTTTTTCCTGCAAAAATTTCCAAAAACTTTGTATCAGAACTGAAAAGTAAACAGAATCAAGTGCTGCTCTCTTATAATATAGACTAGAAAATTGCTCTGGGTATGAAATGCAAGGGCGTTATTAAACTTTCCGGGATATCATTAAATTCTCCACCTATGACTAAACTTCTATGACTTCTCCACCTATGACTATTCTTCGTATATGAATTAAATTGGTAAATACCTTTATGTTATATTTATTTATTCTTTTAAAGTTGAATTTGTATTTACTTATAATGTGCAAACAAATATTATTGTAGCATTCATGATTGCGTTAGCTTAAAATCCTTTCACTTTTTACGTTTACTTGACACTTACATCTTGATGTGTCGAGATACGGTAGGGAGCTCAAACAAACAGTTTGATAGAAATAGCTTATAGCTGGCCATGACGACTAATCCATATTATGTTCAAGAACGCTACAATTTTAACTACTTATAGGAAACCAGCATTATGTTAGAAAATGGCAGCATCGCATTTAAATTGATAACTGATAATTTAATACAAAAATATATGCTGAAATAAAGGCAAATTTTAAATAACGATTGAACAACTGCAATGGCTGAACTACATGTTTTTATAGCAGTTTTGAAAACGCCAAGTAGCATAAAGAAAGCAAAAATTTGATTATCATGCTTAATGGTCAAAGAAATGGGGATTTGCCTTTCTCCTTCCTTCTTTATGCAACTACAGAAAAAAAATAATTATTCAAGTCTTACCCCCTTTTTTTTTTTTTTTTTTTTTTTTTCCATTTTACAGTGCACAAACAAAAAGTCCGCTTTTACGAAATAATAAATTTGCAATGAATTCTAAAATATGTAGCTTAAAGTTGTATTTGTTTATTTTTTTAATTTAAAGAAATTAAAAACAATAACTTAATTTTATAATGTGCCCAACTATTCAACAGATGTGTTAAAGCTATGCATCCGTTCAGACTTCATATAATTTCACTTATTTTCTAAAGCATGTTATCTAGTTGTTGCTTGCTGTTCCGTTTGCTATATTCCATGTGTCCCTACCCGTTTCGATGCCTTTATACCGTGTCTAGACGCAGAGCAATTGGAACGGCTTTGTGAATAATTATGAAAGACGTCATTATTCTGTAGTTCTATTATAGTTTGGTTTGATTTGGTTGATTAAATTTGATAAAGAGCGCGGGGCTGTCTTCCTAACGGACGAGTGCTTTCGTGGGGGACTTTGAAGGAATACTGGCTTGTATTCATAATCACACAATAGGCAAACCAAGAAAGTCCTCATGCAGCCAACGCGTTCTCCAGGATTTGAGCTAAGTATAGCAACATAGTACATAAAAGGATAAAGTAGTTCAATTTTTAATGAGTTGCATGATTAGCCATGACCTTCCACGTATAAAAATAATCTAAATGTTAAATTAAAAAATAAGTTAAGAACGATATAACATAAATTACTAAAAAACTTTGTTTTAGTGTAGCTATATTTTGATATTAAATTTGTTCTGCAGATTTGCCATTATTATTACTAATATTTTTTCTATATGTCTTATCCAAATTTTAACATCTGAAACTCTGTTTACATACCTGACTGCCATTTAAGAGTGCTTTTTTTGTTAAAGCGAAAACTGAAATGTTCATTATCTTCAGCAGCGGCCCAGCGGTAAAGTCGCTGAACACTGGTTCGAATCCCGCGAACGGGCTGGCTGCATGGGCGTTTTCGTAGTTTCCCCATGTGTAACGTGTATACGAGCCAGTTTCCCTTAGAAAGTCCTCCACGAAGGCATTCTTTCCCTTAGGCAGATAGCCCTCGAGGCTTTGCCATAATAACACACACACACATTATCTTCAAAACTGAGAAAATGATTTATTGATGATGATTGTTTTTGTTAAAACAGAGCTTTATGTCAAATTTGCCTCATACTTGTATTTTGCCAATATTTTGATTTAAGAATTTCACTCATTTGCCAAAATACTATTTATTTATATTAAATAATCTTTGAAAAGAAGAAATAATGATAGTTCTATCGTCTACTTACACAAAAATAAGAAAATGCTACAGATAACCTGGTTAACGTACTAAAATAGCTTTATTGCAAACTACCCTTATTTTACCTCCCAAACCGAAAGGAAGATTAAAATAAATGAAAAGAAAATTATCTTTAGGGAGCATTTTTTGAGAAAAAAAAATGTAGGAATTGAAAGACTAAGTCCTCCAAACGCAACGGACTAATACAACGGGCTGAGCCACAGATCTCTTTCACTAACTGAAAGCATTTGACATACGAAATCGAAGGTTTGGCTTCTCTAAATTTCTAAACAATTCAGTACAATGAATGCATTTACTTACAAAAAGTTACATGTTCGTTGAGTACAAGGGTATAATTCACTTAAAGTAAGAAGATTCACTATTATTGGCATCTGTTCGACTTCCAGTAAGCAAAGTCCTTAATATTCTGTTACATATTCCCTGCTCGTCATTTTAAGGAAAACATTTCTCTTCAAAAAAGTGTGAATAAGCAAAGTTATGTTTGAGTTTCTAGTATGGATTGGAACTAATTTGAAGATCAGAGGTATGTGGCAGTCTCAAAAAGTTTGCAAAAGGAATAAAATGAAGCCATGGAATTCACTTTAAGATAAAAATCTTTAAAATAATAATAATAAATCGTTTGTACTCTACGTTATCCATCTACACTTCGCTGCCTCTTCCATTTTAAACCTTCTTTGAACATGCATATCTACTATAGTTAACGACTTCAATGGACCTCTTCAGCGTCATGCGAAACTACCTGAATCGAATCCTTAAAGAAGCTGTCTCACTTCAGAGGTTTCAATCCTTTGTTCAATGGGCAGCAATATATTGCAGAAAATGAGCTTTTTTTTTTTTTTTTTTTTTTTTTTTTTTTTTTTGTTGTTGTTGTTGTTCACTGTTTTTTTAACAAAAAGAACATATTTTGCATTAAAATTATAGTCGTATGTTAAAACTGTTTGCGTGTATGTTGTTGAAACTGAAAAAATCAAAGCGTTAGATATAATTATTAAGTTTCTGGTTGCTCCTTCTTCCATGAAAATGGCTGCAACCAGATGGAGGTGTTACTTTACAGTTACAGGTATCTGCAAATCTACTGTAATGAAGCGTTCGAAAATATGAGTCACGTTTAGGGTTTTTCAAAATTTGACTACGGCAGGAGGAGGCGGAAAAAATGAATCATTCTGTCTTTGAGACAATGGATTTTGATGGCTTTTTAAGGAATAGTGGTAGCAAGTGTGTAATTGGAATATGTGAATTCTGAACAAGGAACAAATTTTAGATGCATATTAAAATTGTGGTCATCTACAGGTGGTGAAAGAAAGGGACTACTCGTGTTATAAAGACTACTAGTCTCTCTCAAAAGTATTGAACCATATCATAATCCATTTAATGCTGATCCCTTTTAAGCCATTTGCCACAGGATGCGTTCACAGCGTGCATAGCATATCATAATTTTTGCCAATGAAGGCCAACACAGGTAATACTGCGACATTCAGCTGTCCTTGAAAACGGACAGTCAAAATCACTGGAACGTAAAATTGCAGTTATACTCACGCCAACGTACAGTACCATGGTACTGTGTGTCTTGGTTGGACAAATGTTGTTTAGCAGCTTTGAAGAAACACACAAAGGAAGGAGATTGCGTGAGGCTATGCTTTAGTCCTGTCAACAAGTTTTGCGCATAATATTGTCAGCCAGGATGTATTCTATCGGAAAAAGTAAAGACGGCGAATGCAAATGAAATCTTCCTCTACGTAAGAAACGTATACAGATCTCGTTGCGCATAGCTCGCAACCATTTTCTTAATGCCATATGTATTTGTGCATATCAAAAGGTTAATGCTGCGCACTTTAAGCACATGTGGCTAACTCTGATTCCTGAACAAAATTTTTACTTCCAAGTATTATAATGGGGTCTCCAATACCCGAAACTTAACTTTGTTCAGGAGTGATGAGACTCTGGAGATTATACTAAATGTCTTTCAGCTTCATCTAATAAGAGCATGTTGTTTTTGGACACAATGTGCCTACCTTTATGAGCTTCCGCAAGACACCTCATTGTCATCGAAAGACTAAAGTTATTCGGGCGCACGAGAAAGCTAAACATAATAAATCCAATGTGCTAAATATGCCATTGTGCCTTTCTAAGTTATTATCACGAAGTCCACAAGGCTGTCTGCCTTGAAGGATCTCTGGTAAGAGAAATAAACTCATATTCATGTTACATTTGAAGAAATATCATGCAGACATCTTTTCAGTCACTTATAATCGAACCTAGGACGAACTACCGATATTCAATGGCATTATTCACTTGGGCATTGAATAAACGGGGAAAAAAATGACAATGCAAAAAGTTACTATATGAAGGTACAGCAATCTTGAAACGTGTAAGAAAATTTCAGTTTGGAGAAGGGAGATTATTTCTAATTAATAATTTTAAAACTATTTAAGAAGCAGATTTTTACCCTTTTACTAGGAATGGAACAATTTTTGTTATCCGAGAAAACCCCCGTCTTTTCTCGAGTTCCCTATTTCGACTATAAGTATACAGTGTTGCTTTTTATTGATCTATGTGTTCATTGTTATGATAGTTTTAAACAGTGAGAACAGAAATACAGCTGCATTGAAATTTATAGTTTAAACAGTAGGCAAATGATTGCACTTCTGATGCAGACTACCACAAAAATTTGAATTACTCTATTTATATTTGTTATAATTTCTACAATTAAATAAATAAAAATAAGTACATATTGAGGAAATAAATATCTTGAAAATATTTCAGGACTCCCTGGAAATATATTTTGCATAGAAAGCTACTGTTATATTTTATTTATATGATTGTTCCGTATTCAGAGAAGTGATTAAAAAAAAACCATAATTTTGCATATTGATTCAAAATTTCTTTCATTATTTTGGTTAGCTTCTTCTTTCTTCGTATTTTATTCATACAATGTTCCACCTTTTTTCCCTACATTTAAGATTATAATGAATTTTAAAAAAACACTTTGATTCTGGAAGACAATTTTCAAGGTGTTTACCAAAATGTCACAAACAGAACGATAGTAATTATTTCAATACCTGTTAAGACAGAGGAAGAATTGCACGATAATTTTAAATCAAATCTTGCACCATTTTGATCATGACATATTTTGATTAAAGCAGTGAATACAATGCATCATTTCTAAAACTTTTTGAAATGTTTCTAACATTTTTTTTTTTAATATTTTATAAGCTGCAAGTATTGTAAAATGTTCATAGTATGAGATGATTATCTCAGGCTTAGTGTAAATCCGATTTGTTTAATTTGAAGGCAAGTATTCAACCATCGCAATATAGAGTGCCATCCATTCTTAGAGTAAGATGATGGTGAACTCTTTTATCAGGAGGCGAAGGTGTAGCATCTGGTATCATAGGGTCATGTGTAACAAAAGTATAGCTTTGATATATTGCTCCAGAAGCAGTGTACATTATTGAAGATGGACCACTTTGTTCCACAGTATTCTCTTCTTGCTGACCGTAGGTGTCTTCATACCTGTTAAGGAAAACATACATTTTGAAATCCATAATAATATTAATATGTAAAAGCAATGCTTTTCCTTTCCTGAATAGATTTTATATAGTTATAATAGATTTATTATTATAAATTATTTATTATAGATTTGAATTATAATATCTGTGCCTTTTGCAACAATAATATTACTTGGATCGATAATTTCAGAAACTTACTTTGCAAGAAATAGCATTAATAAAGCGCTGCATCATTTTATTAATAAATGAAATTCCTCCCCATGGCATTCAATTTAATGTCTAATATTACCGAGATAGTTACTGCAGTGTGGAAATAATTTTGTTAAAAAAAAAAATTTTTTTTTTAATTAAAGCACTTTTTAAAAGAAAATAACAACCCTTCACTTTCTGGAAAATGGTTTTTGTCGATTCAAGAGATTTGTTGCAAGAGATTTCCGTATTTTTTCGATTAGGTTCTTTCAAGATGGTAAAGCACGCGAGGGGTGTCTGCCTAAGAGTAAGGATGCTTTCGGGGAGGACCTTTCTACGAGAAACTAGCTCGTATTCATATTACACATGGTGGAAGCCATGCAGCCAGCCTGTTCGCCTGGCATCCATTCCATGTATTCAGAGCTCTTAACCAGTTGGCCATTGACACAGCTGCGTAAAGACAGGACATTTTTCCTTATAAAACCTTCAGCGAAGGATTGGCCTCTCATAGATAGGCAGCCGTAGTTTATTTTGATATGGTTCAGTAATTCTGTCTTTCTGTAAAACGTGATAGGTGGGAGCGAGTGCAAGTACATTCAAATTTCTTCCATGTGAATCTTTGTAAAGCACTTTTATCACCCTCCTTACCTGAAAAGCTTCTTTTTTTATGTAAGAATTTTTGTATTAACAATGACTATATATTTTATTTTTATTCTTTTTTAAGCATTCGGTGAAAATTAAATGCTAAATATTGTTTAATGTATACCATTATGAGGCATTGGAAACGAAGATTAACAAAAAATAATGAATACAAATATAAAGAAAATATTCAATGATGATTAAGGTTAACAATTAACACAAACTGTATTAAGTTAATATTTCTTAATTAAACTAAAATATTTTTGTTACTGTTAATCATAATTGATAATTTCATTAAATATTAGTTGTGCAAAGTCTTGACTGTCAGCTACGTTGCAAACATTGATGCGTCTCATCAAGGACTTCTGTACCTTTTCGAAGGATCTCGGAATACTTCTGATAGAGCCACGTGCTACTTATATTCTAGCTAAAATTTTCTTTTGATGTCTAGTATTTGCTCTTCCTTGTGGACTAAGCTTTTCATATGGTAGCCAGAGGGGGATAAGTTATGAAAGATGAGGTAGCGGGACTTCCTTTTCCAACCAATTACTGTGGGAACTCTTCAGATACCCACCGATGCAATGTGTAAAATAAGTCGGTTCCTTACCAGTTTTGGCTCTTCAATATTATACTTGCTGTAATTTTTCGCAACGCAAAATACATGCATAGAATTACCGCAAGTGGGACAACTACAAATCCAAACAAAATATTTTCAAAAAGTTTTTAGCGATTGGTTCTATCCAGAGGAGAGAAGAAAATGCGCCTAAAAAAATATTCTTTACAGGGTGGGTGGTCATAAAAATACTTCCTCAATATGTGAATCCCTAGTGACCTATCCGCTCAACCAATCGCTATGAAATTTCACTTATTGCTATTTGAAGATTGTGATTATTTAAAACAATAGTGCTCTCACGGTTACGGTTAGAGTAAAAACATTTTGAATTCCTGTGCGGATTGAAGAGGAATCCGCCTTTGAGCGGTGGATCTTCCCGGACTTGCGGTACGGGGTCCAGGGAATATGCAAGCAATGACAGCGCTCGGTATTTCTGCCTACTACTGTGAATGACACTTCAGCTGTCCTGTGCGGACGCACATTTTCATCCATAAAAGTCTGGACCTAATGCACCAGGTAAAAGACGGGCAGGACCCAGGAGAATTTCGGTCAATGACGCTCTGATGTCACTGTGTCTGTGTCATCGAAGATGTAAAGCGGAGTTCTGCCACTGCGTAAGATACCTGTCAACACAATTACTTCTAGGCTACAGAGCTCAGTTCCCTGGATTTCTTCTCCACGTTAACTGGTGTCCAAATTCATCGTATATGGTAAAGCGGGATTCATCAGAGAGCATGACATTGAAACACTGGTGCTGACCTTAACGAATACGCTCCGTACACCAATATATCTTTTCGACCAGGTTCGCTCTTAGTGGAATGTATGCAACAGGCTTCCGTGCAAATAACTCAGCATTATTCACTCAGCATTAGTAGCATTAGTAGCCATTCTCGCTGATACACCAGTGCCAGCAGCGTTGGCATGGTACGCGACTACCTGGTCAGAAGTAGATTTATAATTCGAGACGATATATATCTGTCCTCTTGCAATGTGGTGGACCTCCTACAGCCCCAAACATATTTTTATACAACGTTTCCATCTATAGCAGCCCTCATTAACCACGAGATAATGTTCTTCGACACGCCTGTTGTTATGGCAACTTAAGTGACCCTTTTCCCCGACTCGAGACATACTGCTGGTTGACCATGATCGTGTGATCGAATGCACTCAAATAATTTCTTACAGACATTCTGTAGTCAACACTTCCTTTCAAAAATGAAAGTAATATTTTCAGAACCCGACAACGTATTTTTTCTCTCAATGTTACTATTTTCAGTTACGAATAAGGGAACGATATTTTGCTTCTTTCTAGTAAGCCAGTGTCAGCGCGAATAAATTTCGCGCTCGTACTGGCACTTCAGACGACCCCGTTGAAGGGAATCACACTTGCGAAACTAAAATGAAGATTACTACCGAAGTAAGTCTCATAGTTGAAGAAAAATTAACGCCACTCTTCGTGGGAGGGCCATTGGGTGTTAGTGGAGACAGTTAAATGATATCGAGAAAAAAGCTGCACAAAATTCATCATTCTTGAGTTTTTGATCATTTGATTATAGCAGGGTGAGGGCTAGCTACGTAAGGGATGGGTACCTTCGTGGAGGATTTTCCAACGAAAAATGGCTCGTATTCACGTTAAACATGGGAAAAACAAGAAAACGCTCAATGTAGCCAGTCTGTTTATGTGGAACCGAAGCCAGATCGAACTATCAGTATTCAGCGATTAGCCGAATGCTTAGCCGCTGCCGAGAAGCTTTACTTAGGGATTTCTGTTTCCGTAACTAAGTTAAGAATTTTAATAGTTAGTATAAATTTCTGGGAACTTTCTGTGGCTTAATGACATTCATTAAAATTGAAGCAGCTCTTTGCAGAAAGAGCGAGTGTCTGAGTCGATCATTTATCTGTTATTCTGTTGACAGAAGTCCGTCTGGGGATAATTCGTTTGTCTTTTGGTCTTCTAACTAGGGAATTCATGCTTTTCTGTTATTTTTTTTCAGCAGTCTTCGTTTCAGGCATTCTAATACATCTGTTCTTGAGAGGAATTCTTGGCGTTTTCAAAGCGTTCGGCAGTGTTTCGCGCCAATGAAAATTTCCTGTGCTGCTCCTTAGGTACCTGTAACAAGTAGGCTCATACTTTTTTTAACTCACATGTATAGGTCATATGCTATTGTCTACTCTTAAAATAGCCCTTTTTCCCATGGTCAAAACTTTGATAACCATAGCATTTTATACGTAACCTCCATGCTTTGTAAGATTTAACCTGAATAGTCAATCAGAGCACTCGCTTAACAGTTTAGATTTTCCTTTCCTTGATTGGTTGCTCAAAGATAAGAGTAAGGTTTTTCAGCAGCTTGTTCGTGTCTTCTCGTAAACTGATTCACTTTCTTCAGAGGTATGCTTAGCTCCAACAGTGGCCGAGTGGTTAAAACCACTGAATACTGGGAGTTTGAACTGGGTCCAATTCCCTGCTGACAAGCTTACTGCATGGTTGGCCTTTGTGTTTAGCCTATGTTTAACGTGCTTCCGAGTTTCCTGAATAAAATCCTCTGCCATCCCTTCCCTTAGACAAACAACCCTCCTCAGATTTACCATATTCATTTAACCAGCCAACCATATGTACGAATAATGCTATAAATTCATCAATATTGCTCTTTCTCTGATTGACTTCCAGTTTTAATTGACTTAATTTTATTTGACTTACATAGAAAACAAAGCGATCTGGATAATTAGATGCTAGTTTATAGAGTTTTATTTATTTTTACGAATAGTTATTTTATTTTGTGAAGCTTTCCCGAATTCACTTATTTCCCTCGCATTTCCTCGCCAGGATGTAAATGAGTTGGGGTGAACGAGAATATTTAAACCGTTGAAGAGAAAAAGCTAGGCTGAGCGTTATTTCGCTATTTTGAGAGCCCTTTGTTAGTTTCTACCAGCTGTTAATCCTAATAGCAGCTACGTCTTCTTGCCGCCGAATTATTGTCCCGCCGGTGTAAGTTTCTGAGTCAACCTCTTAGCTGAAATTGAATTGTGTAGTCTCGCATTACTCTTTACCTTTAAATTTAGTGTTACATTATCTTTTAAGTTCTCACCGCAAGTGGTCGGTATTATTTTAAGTATGTAAGTCTGTCTGTTAAATATTTTTTTAATAAAAGTTTCTTTTATATCCTTCCTCTGGTTGTGTTCATCTTCAAGCCTGTGCGAGAATTCGTAAGGCAGATCGAGTTACATTTTATGATAACTAAGAAAAAGTAGATTTTACAACTTATCTGGATTCTGTATAACTGGAATTTTACTTTATCTCTGAAGTAAAAAGAAGAAAACTGTAACACGAGCATACTAGGAAGAGTGAACTTTTTCTTGTTTTTTACTTTATTGCTGTTTCGGTAGAAATTTGTATTTAAAATAGCCAGATTTATCATGAAAATATGAAAATCGTAAAATGTTTCTCATTTCTTATGTTGAGTAAGTTAAACAGCAAACGGAAAGCAGCAAACGGAAAAAGGCACACCTTTAAACAGCAAACGGAAAAAGGCAAAAGGAGAAAGGTATAAGAGAAGTTATTTCTATCCAAGCTGATACGTTTCTACGCATAAAATAGTTCATGCGAATGGTTACGACAGGTGTTAATTTTATATGAATAATGACTGATTCATCCCTTCCTCCCAGCAATAGCTCTCTCAATGGGCTTGTCGATTTGGTCAAAAGCAACATCAGAACGTGGGCATTTTTTAAATTATTAGTAGAAAGGAAAGAAAATTTACTTACCCAGAATGTGATGGAGGTTGCATCGATAGTCCATCATCCTGGCTGACAATTAAATACTGAAAGGGAGATTTATTTCAATTTCTAGGTCGTGTAAATGAAACAACTGATTAAAAGTATTTAGTAGAGTTAGTGAAGGTAAACATTAAATAATATTCAATAACTAATTTAAGATGTTCACGAATTTGACATAGCTCTAAATATGGAGAGTGTTATATTTCGCAAGCGATCATTTAATAAATTACAACTTTTTACGAGGCAAAATAAATAAACTCTTAACGATAGTCTGTTAATTAATTATCGCAAATAACTCAAATGGATACTTGGAGAGGGAAGTCTTTATAAACAGTATTCTAAGGGAAATTAGTTTATATTTATATTACACATATACAGAAACTTCGAATTATTCACGCAGTCAGCAACTTTAGCAGCCGGGAATCCATGCCCGAAAGCCAATATTACCAGTGTTTTATGACCTTAACTATATGGCTTTTAATAGATCCTCATCAATGGTACAATTGCTTACGAAGTTGTTGGTTGTTGCAGTTGTATAAAAGAAACAGGTATATTATTATGAATTATTACCAGAGAATTTAAAAGGCATTTCTGAATCAGCTAGTGTTGAGGAATTTCATTCAGTCAAAATGGCATGTTATCTTCATTTTTTCTTTAACAGTACATCCACAAATGTTTTTCGGGTAAGAAACGCTGCAGTTGCAAAGTTTCAATTATTTCAGTCCTCTAAAAATAGTCCTCACTTAGGCCTCTAAAAATCTTCATCAGTGTCTGTTAGAGGTATCAAATAATAATTAGAAGAACACTCTTCTGGGCTTTAAGTTTTGTCATGGCATCTGAGTTTTCAAATCTAGAAGTTATCGATTCTTTTTAAAATGCCGAGCAAAGCGCTGGTGAACACAGAAATCCTACTTCTATAAGCATACCAAAATTATGGACCGCTTGGCAGGAAGAATGGTATTTGTTGCCTACAGAATATTCTCGCATACTTATATAGCCCACTTTTCTGCAATTCTACGTTCTCATTTTTGGAAGCGCAATGTTAAATGTTTCTTTCATTAAGGTTCATGTATCCTAGAAAGTGTGTCTGGAACTCCTTAGGGTCCAGTTTCTAAAATTACAAGTGCATTTTACAAGTCCACGTATTTTTATTTTATTTCCATTCGTGTTATATTTATATATCGTTTTTCTGGTATTCAAAAGTTTAGAAGCTTAATTACTTTTGCTTAATTAAGAAACTAGTAGAGTGTATTAAAATTAAAACTCACGTTATGCATAAACTTTTGTCATTATCTTCTGCATATTTTAAACCTTTTAAGCGATGAGAAAAACAGAACTTCAGTACCATAAGTAACAATAAGAACTAAGTCAATAATTATAAAACTGAAATCTACAAAATTGACCGAGATATAGTTTTGCTAATCCCAGTGAGAAGACATATGCATTTTTGTGCATGTTACACGATCTCATTATTAAATTATGCGAAAAATCAGCCTCGGACGATTTCTTTTCAGGTAAATTGAAAACCTACTTAGGACATATTTATGTTAAATATATTAGCTTAAATTTCATCGAAATATAATTTCTTAAAGAACTTTCGAGAGAATTTCGGGCAAAAATGGGATAATAAAATACTTAAGCATTATTTTATTTTTTTAGCAACAGTTCTTAACGAAAAGCTAAAATTTCAGGTTCATTTATTATGGAAAAGCTTCAAGGGCTAGCTGCCTAAGGTAAGAAATGACTTCGTGGAGGACTTTCTAAGGGAAACTGGCTTGTACATATTTACATATGGGCATTATACTTACACATAGAAAAAACCAAGAAAACGCTCATGCAGCCAGCCTGTTCGCAGGATTCGAACTGCGGACCGAACTACCAGTGTTCAGCGATTTTACTTCTCAGCCGCTGGTGGATTGTGCTTTAATTTCAAGAGCACGCATCTTCGGTATTTTTTTTTTTTTTTTTCGTAATTTGAAGCGTAAGCTTTGGCAATAATAATGTAAGAATTTAATGATCATTATTAAAAATTAAACTAATTTATTATTTGCAGTATTTATCCACCTTTAAGTCTTCGTAACCTAACGTATTAATTTCCTCATATCACATTTGTTTCACGACTGATTTAATTTTTAAAATATACTTATTTAATTGATATTTTATCTACGTATAATTTATTTAATAACAATTAATAATGTATTTTATATTTTATTTAACTTTAATTTGTCGTAATTTAGTGTTCTAATTATTATTATTTTGTTCATACTAATTTTTATACATCATTCCTATCCGTTTAACGTTAGGCTCCGGCAATTTTGAGTTTATAAATTAAGCCTTAGCCAGAGATTTATCGAAGGTAGTCAGGAAAATTTAAATAATAAAAAATTAAAATAATGTGAATAGCAAATTAATGCAGTTGAGGAGTCCCTGTGGCAGTCGATTCCACTCCTGCATATGGCAGTTTTTAACTCCGGGATGGTTCTCGGAGGGGGATAGTGCTGCGCCCTTGAAAAGTCGAACAAATTTCCTTAAGATATCCTCTCTATACCTCACAACAGCCAGGAAGCCTTTTTCAAGCACATACAAGGGATGCGCCACCGTCCAACATAACGCCTGCCCAAACCATTATACCTCCACCCCCGTAATGATCCTTTTCAATGATAAGATAGGAATGGTTATCGCGTTCCAGGCTTACGCCGAGAATCAGTGATCGGGCTGAATCTCTACTCATCTGTTTGGTTTGGTTTATGTGACTACGGCAAAGCCACGAGGATTATCTGCCTAAGGGAATGGATGCCTTCGCGGAGGACTTTCTAAACGTAACGGGCTCGTATACACGTTACACATAGGGGAATAGCACAAAAACGCCCATGCAGCCATCCCGTTCGCGGGATTCGAACATCGGATCGAACTACTAGTATTCAGCGATTTTACCCGTTGTCTGATCTAAGGCTCATGTTTCCTGCCCCATACCAAACGCGCTGTCTTATGTGCTGCAGTGAGAGGAACACCAGCAGTGGTTCTTTTGTATACAGCCCTATCTTATGAAGCCTTCGGGCAACTGTAGACCGTGATATTTAAGTTGCAGCACACAGCTCACATGAGAGCTGTGAAGCTGTAGCAGACATATGTCGTCATGCTTAAAGTGCCAAATAACGATCCTTATTTGTCATTGTGGATCTTGGTCGACCTTGTTCAGTGCCCTAAAATTATATCCACAAATTGCAGACGAAACTGGGCGTTATATTGAGCTCTACAGCCCCACATGCGCTTGTGATTAGCCTGCTTCCAATCTACCGATAACTCTACATCGCATTCCGTCATCCACACGCTCTTAGCTATTCATTTTACATGATGCCATAATAAATTTATTCTGCTCTTGAGAGAAACACAGCAGATGTCAAATCACCAAAAATCTCTCTTGCGCATCCTCTTCACAATCACAGCACTGCAGACACGCAAGCATACGCTTACGTTTTCGACTCTGAATATTTTCATAATTCTTTGGTGGCATGATTAGTATCTTTGATTTAATACGTTTCCTAAAAACAGACATAATTTGCAAATTCTCTTAATTTTTCACACGAGTGTAGAAGGATATATATATATATATATATATATATATATATATATATATATCATTTGTAAAAGCCCCTTAAAGATTCTGGTTAATTTTTTTTAACCGTATTATACTTGCACATCGTAAGTGTTAGGCCAATATCAACTGAAGACGTGAACCGGATAGTAGTTTTCGAGAATTTTTTCCCGAAAAATGGCAACCGAATTTACTTAAGAACAATTTATGAAAATACTTGAGTTTCAACTATTAAAGGTAGTTACTGTGATTTAAAAATATACTTTAATTGTAACCAGTTTTAACGAGTGATTAAATATATGTGATAGTTTACAGTTTTATTGTTCATTTTTACATTACATACAGGTTATTCAAGAAAAGGTATTTAGGGGCATTATCTTCTCGACAACTGATCTTTGTTTGGCAATTTATGGTTCTACCTAACGTAAAACAAGCATTCCTCTTTAAATTTAAAGCTGATTTCTAGAGTGTATTTAATAAGCATATTTTTGCGAATTTTTCAGATAAGGTAATGAAGGAAGTAATTCGTTTTAATTGACTAAAGACTAATGAATGCTTTACTAAATGGAAATTTTTGTTTTTCAGAAATTATATAAATATTTAGGTTTTATTCCATCAAAATCCTTCCATAACCAGTGCTGAATCTGTTTTAATAAAATTTTCTACCTTATTTTAAGAAACCTTGCAATAATTATAAATCCATTCTTAGGATCAAAGTTATAAAAAACAAAATAAAGTCTATAATCACCTTTCTTACCTCACCCTGTATATATACATTGCTTCATCTCATATTTGGCTTTCTCTCGAGCAAATAACTGAAAGAGCAATGGAAAATTCCTTTTATTGCACTTAAACAGCTCACAATAATTCAGAATCAACAGCAAGTTGAAGTTTCACGTTTCACATAGTTGCACCGTTTTGGAAAATGCGGAAAGCATATACGGCTAAAATTCGGAAAAAATAAAGAATTTAGACTTTTACCTAGAAATGTTCTGTCTTCCAGAAAGAAGTATTAGCCTAGTAACACTATCACACTATCATATGGCGTTTACACAGACTGCATGGCATGAAATCTTTTTTTCCCTATGTTTAGATTATTTCGTGCGTCTATATTTTCATGTCTGTGTGAAACACGTGGTCACTCACAGCTATGAAACAATTATAGGATAATGCTGCCGCTCCAGTTGAAAAACACATTCATACGCCGATGTATGTTGAGATGCCAGCTGAGAAACACTTACATGCACCGATGTATACTACTATAAGTAAGATTTTCCTATGTTAATTAAAGCAGTGATACGATTAAATATCAAAAAGAGGCAATAAGAGCGAATGTCAGACTTCTGGTGGATCTCCCTAATGTCAAAAAATAACTTTGAGAAGTAGTTTTAGGTTTAGGAAGAGAAAAGTTTTCGCAAGGAAACAAATATTTAAAATGGGGAGCAAGATAGTTGAGTATACCCATTTGTTTTTGGTCCAAAAATTGCTATACGTGTTCTGTTCAATGTGCAAGTGCACTGTTGGCGTTAGAACGTGTTTGAAACAACGGTTTCTGATCGAATAATGCAAAACGCAGCATTAACTATCATGTACTCAGCTAGATGATTATCAACTTAGTCAAAATACAGTATAGTAGTATTAATTCGTCAGTTTTACGGATTTTTAGTTAAATTACAATCTCATTATTTAAGTACTAAACTGTACATATACTTACCCACAAGAATTATGTTTTAAACCGGAAAACTTCAAAAGATTTCTGTTTCATTTGCGCATATGCCTTTTGTCATTTGCTTAAGAAAAATATAGATGCGTAAGTCAGTTTTTATTATAAAAAGAAGTCTCACAACACAAAATGGAAGGCCCAGAAAATCATGGGGTAAGATCTCGCAAATACCACACCATTGCACTATGGTAACAACCATTGCATGCAAATACAACACCTTGCACTGTGGTAAATACTGCGTTCAATCCGCAGGCTTATCAGATACCGGCCGCATGCCGGATCTCGGAAATTCGAATGGAGAACCAATGCTCTACAAAAGTGCAACCTGTGGTCAATCATATTGACACAGTAGAAAAAGGACTGCACTTAAATTAAGACATTTTTATTACATTTATTTATTTAGTTTACAAAATGTTTGGGAAGGATAAGTGAATTTGTTTACACATACACACTCTTTTGTTTCATTTGCGCATATGCCTTTTGTCATTTGCTTAAGAAAAATATAGATGCGTAAGTCAGTTTTTATTATAAACTGTGAACAGTATTTTTATTATACTGTGCCAATAGTTCTTGCCATATTTGCTTTGTGAAATCTTTAATCGTCTTCGAAATTTATCGAATATACAGGAACAGAAAAAAGAATGCTACGAAAGCAACTATTAATTAAGTCTTAGTGACTGAGTACAAGCATTATCCAAACCATTTTGGTATTTACTCACCTGAGCGGTTTGTTGATAGTTATAAGCTTTATTTTCATGCTTTGATGATGAATTCCATGGTCTTCGGCTATCGCAAGCATTGCTTGCGGGATAGAAACTGGAATTTAAAAATTTAAAAGATTTTAAACTTAAAATAAAAAATCTTATAAAGATATAGATTTATATTCGGCTTTTAAAAATGAAATTGCAAATTCCATTTTAAGATTTCGTGGCTAACAAACACGAGCGGCAGTTAATATGAATGTTATAAACTTGAAATTAGAGATCCTACATAACTTGAAATTAGAGATTATACGTTAACTTGAAGTTAAGAGATCCGTTCTTGCAAAATTACACATTTATTGCACAATATTTAGCAGAAAATACATTTTTAATTCTGAAAGAGTTGGTATTAATTTCTGCATTACTAGAGAAAAGTATTTTATTACTACAGTTACTAAATTAAAGTTTCATTTCCTGTTTCGCTTTACATGAATTTCGTTTACAATTTTGAATTCTGACTGGTTAGAAAAAATAACTGAAGAACCTCGAAACAAAAGTATTCAGCAAGAATCAGCTACAAACCTTTGATAGCATTCGCCGGATGTCCAAGCAGAGGTCTGGTTTTCTATCAAGGAAAGAGTGAAAACAACATTTATTAAAATCAAAGGGTTAAAATAAAAATTTAGGTTTAAAAATCAAGCACTTCTATGTAAGAACTTCCAAATATTTTAATAATGTTTTTGACAGTAGCTTTAAAACCAAATCCAAATAGTACATAAACATGCGCTTTTGTAGTACAGTGACCTATACGCACTCACAGTTCATTTAAAAATTATTAATTTATTCATGTAAAGATGCAAATCCTTTAATAGTATAAATAAACTGCAATAACAGGAAGTAAGAAATAATCTTTAAATTTGATAATATTCATTTATTTGTAATTTATCATGAATGGTTCTTGTTTCGTCAAAGTTGCTACTATCATAGGCATTTACCTGAAGGCGCTTCTTCATAAGAAGCGTTGGGTGATTCCGACGAACACGAAGCATAACTGTGATTTTGGTGTATTGCTGTAAAAGATTCCATGTTTTCCATTTCAACGCCAGTGGTCAAGTTCTGGTACTCTGGAAAAGAATCTGTATTAGAAAAAAAAAAAGAAATTTGCATTTGTTTTTGCGTTTAAAAGATTTAGACATGGGAAGAAAAGAGAGAGAGAAGAAAAATCGAGCTTTTTCTCTATCTCTAAAAAGGGCAGACATAATTTTAAAAGTGAAATAATTTAATTCTTCAGCAGAAATAGTAAAATTTCAAAATTGTTAATTTTACAAATTACGTACACATTCTTGCAAAGATTGATCAATATAGAAGTTACCTTAATAAGTGTGCTAAATGTATTGAAATTGCGTCATCAAATAAATTCAAGGATGTAAATACCAATATAAAAATTACCCAAAGGAGGTAAAAAATAGAATAAATATTTCTTTTATTCAAAAACCTAATAACAACGCACAGAATGTCCTTTGTAAGTAACGCATTTCTTCATGTTTTCTCATAAGAAATAGTCAAAGAAACAAAACATCACATTATGAATAATATGCAGCGATTAACAAAACGGTAGGAACACTTCCTCAGTGGCTTACCGGTTTTCCTCTAACTGGACCGATAGCCCGCATAAAAAGATGTCACCTTTAGCAAATAATGGACATTTTCGTGAAAGAACTGCAGTCAAAACCTTTGTAACATTACTTGCAACTCCAGCCCAGTTGTCAATCACGAGCTAATGGATCTGATGTTTCGCTCTACAGAATCCTAGAAACTGAGACAAGTATCCCTTAGAATGATCAGCCCTCATATCTCGTTAATATTTAAGGACCTCTCTAGATACTAGTATATCCTCAAAAAGCTTAACACAGCATTATAAGTCATTACGGCTTTGAGCAGAGATATGTTAAATTTGCTCCAGGTGGTGGTAGCTGGAAAAGAAAACACATATTTGAAGAATTTGTACAGTGCTCAAGGCTTTGGCTAATGACAGACGCAATCTAGTTATCCTTTCCACGGTAGCAATTCGTGGACTTATTCCGATTCAGACAATTGAGATTAGTAACAACGGCAACAACAGAAGAATATGCTATAGCTCGCCAAAATATTAATATATAATGTTATGTAAATAAAAAATATTAATATATACATATTTAATAATAATGCATTCAGAAGAAGCTGAATTCATGATCTTAACGACAATTATGCCATTTTAAATATGGTAAGATGGGTATGTGGCTTCATGTAGTCTATGCTATATCTATATCCATCAAAACAGTGCAGCAAAAAATGAAATTCAATTGACCACCATTTTACAGATATACAACTTTAATGTTTCCAACGCTATGCAAAGGGATAAGGCCTAGTTAACGATGAGAAACCAGTAGGACGTCAGCTTGTGTAGCCTAGACTGACTCTATTCGCTGACTTCTTTGAGTTATAGCATTGAGGTTCCGTGTGTCCGCATCAGTCTGCAGAAGACCAAAAATCTTCGCAGAACCCCGTCATTAGTGACTCATAAGGCTACTCTTTCGTCGCTGAATGCTAATGCATCATAAAGTGTATATCCATCGTGGATCTGTTGCTGAACTTTCCTTCAAAACCAGAAAGCTGTTGCAACTTCGGAGTTCGATTCACCCGTCTGTCTTGCGTCGACAATGCTTCCGCGGTCCTGATGACTCTGAAAGTCACTAATTTTCTTACGCTTGTGATATATTTCTGGAGGTCCATAATCAATTCATCATATTTCATTTATTTTATTTAATCATATTATTTGGAATTATGTTTTTAATTATGACACTTTTAAAATGAACTCTATGGCGCTTTTTCCAAAGGTACAGCTGAAAATCATCAATCTCACGCTAAAAATTCACCTTCATTTTCAAATTCCTTATATGTCATAAGTACTTTCTTTGTTAAAATTGGGTTGCTTATTGGAGTTTCCCTCCGATGTTCTTGCTAAAACCATAATCTAAAGCATCGTCAACTAACTCATTTATAGGATTTTAGGTTCAACTTATGTACAAAAATCTTGAATGGATCCCCAGTATTCTTTCCTTCACGTAATTCAACATAAATACCTTTCATTGCTTCGCCTTTATCTAAACATTCCAGAGCATTTAATTTTTCTTCCATCATTACTAGATTGTACTTCCGTTTTTCACTCATTTTGCCAAAGAAAACTTTTTCATATACTAACTCACAGCAGCTGATAAGAAACAACTGTATACACTGCGTGTACAAAACAATAACAACGTCCGTACAGTAATGCACCACTGCTGAACTAAAGTAATTGGGAAAAGACAGAAGGGATGAGACAAATACGTTACAGCAAGTTGTTGTAGGAATCACCTCCTCAGCCCAGAGGCCGATTAAACGAAGGCCGTTAAAAGGGCTCTACAGAGCATAAATTCGTAACATCTTTGGATAAGAATTGACATTCATCGTTAATACCGTATTGCGATTGTCGTTTACTGTAGTCCATAGTTCTCACAGACAGCAGAAAAGCTACTCAACAATACACAGGTCAGACTAACACTATTCAGCGACTTACCGCTCAGCCGCTATTTAGCTCTAGAAAAGAAATTTAAATTGTAACACTGAAGACTTCTAGCGCTGGATTGCTAAGCTATTGATAGAGTTGGTACATTGAAAAATTTGAATTTGATGCAAGTTCAGAGCGAAACGTTGCATTTAATCAAGGGTTTCTATTTGTCTTGCTTTTTCTGTGACAATTTTTTTTTTTTTTTTTTTTTTTTTTTTTTTTTTTTATAAAATGCTCCAATGTCCCAGATTTGTCCTATATATTTCGCTTTATAACTGTCCTTCCTGGACGGAATTATGGATTATAGATTCTATTCTCTTATTATTCTCTCTTATATAACCATGTAACTTTCCTGATAGTTAATCTTATTATTTCACTAGTTTGCGTATATGGGGTAAAAAATAGTGAAACCAAATATGAAGTGGGGAATGAAGGGAAGAATCAATAAGTCAGTGAAAAAAATGCTATGAAATGTTCATTTGTTTTATACAGCATAATAATAATAGTTAGAACATGAAATACCCAGTTAGTTTTTTATCTGCATTTCTAAGGCCAAACATATAGATAGCTGTTGAAAGTGTTCATCGTTAATAAATGTGTTGTGCATGTTGTGCAAAAAAAGGAGACTTAAAACTCAGAGGAAACACTTTAACTATTGTAAAACCCGTTTTAAAAATTTCTATTGCGTTGAAATAACATTTTGAAAAATTAAGGAATCTGGTATCTAAATTTAAAGCTTTAATTTCTCTTATTAATTTCACTTATGATTAGCAATTCCTACCCCTCTTTTTTTTTAACTGTACATTGGAATGAATTATTTATATTATGGTGAAGCACTCTGGGTTATCTGCTTAACAGTAGGGCTGCCTCCAGCAGAACTCTTTAAACCAAACCGTTTAGTATTTACTTTGCACGTGGGGAAAACCACGAAAACTCTAGGAAACGGAGATCTCAACTCGCGACAAAGAACCAGCGTACAGGGGTTTTACCATTCAACGGCTGGTTGTGTTTTTAAAGTTGTTATTGTTTTAAATGGCTGAGCACTTGCAACTGAGAGCATTCGTCAGGAATGGTCAACACCCATTCAACATTTGTTGTCAAGGGTGCACAAAAGGAAATGATCGAATTACATCCATAAAGAAGGGGAATTTCTGTCCCAGTTTTAATGGAGAATTTCTCGTAGATCGAATCCCAGGCTCTCCCACCCCTCTTTACCTGCCACCAAACCTCTAGAGAGGCCTTTCGGCTCGGCAGTATTTTATGCGCCGCATACCGGTCAGTCATTATACATTTACAAGCATTCAGACCTTGCCCGGGATTTTAACCCAGCCCCATTGATACGGCAGACAATATCCCTAACCACTACATCAATCAGGCCGGAGGTTTTTAAAAGTAAACTTAATATATTAGTTAATATACAAATTTTATGCCTTGAATGACGAGATTCCTTGCTCGGTGTACGTAAAAAAGGACCCATACTGGTAGAAAATCTTCAGAGTGTTGTTGGGAGAATTCATGGCGGTCTTACGCTATCATAAAGGAAGCCACGATACTGTTACGGGTTTATGCAGATCCTAGAGTTGAGCACATGTGCGCAATACAGGCAATTTAATGCGAGCAGAATATTACTGGATTTCAGGCAGGATCTTATGGGCAGCAAGACTATACCCGTTTAGCCGTAGAATCTTGCACGAAGCACGTTTCATACATCACGGGACCTTCAGCAATCACAATAGCCATGTTTGGTGCCAATACAAACTTCATACATTCCCTCCGCAGAGAGATCAAGTCGGCAAGTCTGACAACTTGTGGGATGACATATTGCATTCATACTTGGCATTTTTCGGTTATGTACTGAATATTTGCTTCAATGATCGTGATATACTGAATATTTGCTTCAATCGTCATGTACTGAATATTTGCTTCAATGCTCTTATCGGTACTACTTGGCCTATGGCCCAGTTCATCTCTCTGCACGTGATTGGTTGGATAGGGAACATCCAGATCGTTGGATTGGGCGTTGAGAATCCGGCTGGTGGTCACCTGGATCGCCAGATCTGACACCATTAGATTCCTTTCTATTGGATTTCCTGAAGGAACTGGTGCATCGAGCCTCATTTGCTGCTGAAAGGGACTATACCAATGAGGTCTTCATGCTGCTTTCACTTTTGTGATCTTCGATGCTTCACTGTTAATCACCTTTGATGCTTCACTGCTAATTGCTGTTATTTAATCAGCAATTCCATGGAGCGCACGAGCATGATCAATGGGCGTATTGTTAATTTTGAGCATCTCTGGGAGAAGACGCAAAGTCATATGCATGTACCAATATTCATATTTTTAATAATGTTAATTTTTCGTTCACCGGATATTTTACCATACGTGTTCGTTCGCATTTCCCTCGAAAACTGTTTATCATGAAATTATAATCCTTGAGTGACTTTTTTATGTATTCTGACCAAAGAATCTCGCCCTGCGTATTTTATGTTGTTGAGAGGATACCCTGTATATAGTTACAATAGACTACTGGCTTGTGTAACATATGATGTATAATAAATTTATTCTTTTTCCTTAATTTTTAAAGTGTCTTTTCTCTTTTTGTTTTGTAAATATCCTTCACTTTTTAAGTAAAATTTGGAATAATCGTAATAAAGAAATAACACTGGAATCCCGATTTAATCATTGTATTCAAAACGTCTCAGATGCTAATTAGGAAACTGATACGAGACCAATTTTTAAAGTAGTTAGACTATTTACCTGAAAACGCTGTAATGTGGGGTGGTGCATCGTTAATGAGATTCCTCATGAAATCCTTCATCTGGTCTTCTGTATGAATGCTTTCGACGAGAAATAGAACATAATCGTCGAACATAAGCCTCAAAAGATGAAAAGAACCTTAAAAATAAAAATAAAACGGAAAATGTTTTTAAGTTTAACATTCTCTGCGTACTGAGTGCTAAATTTTTATTTAGATTACCGAAACTGGCTGCGCTGTGTAACGTCATGTCCCTTATGACTCGGGTACCAAATGCAGACCATAAAAGTAGGAACTGGCGAGCAAGACGCCGGCTCCCTCCTTTTCGTTTACCAGAAGCCTGAAAAAAAAATTGATAAGCTCATTGAATTCTTTAGAGCATTTCCTGGTAAATAAAAACAAAATTTATCATTCGGTTTTAATTAACTCAAAGTAGGTATAAGAATGTTCAAGAAGCTGCTGGCTTCTCTTGTTTTTAGTTTGAAAAGCTATTTTAAATCTTTCACTACACTCATTAAATTCTTTTAAGTTTTCTGCTCATAGATTGAATGTCTGTGTGTATATAATGATTAATAATAAAATGTAATTTTTTATTTTTTCAAGAATTTCGCTTAGTAATCCTTAATACCAGTTATGGCAGGAGACTAACTTCAGTGGTTTCATCTTTCAGCTTAAGTAACGGTTTATGATTCCTATTACTAGATTTTATGTGATAGTTAATTTTGATTCAGAAATTCTTAATGTTTCTTTTTTAGAAGAACTGAGTATCTCTGCTATACTTAATTACTATATATGTTTTCACGTAATCTTAGGCAAGGGGTAATTTTTTGCTGAAATGTCTATCAGCAAACATATTCTTTGGAAAGTTGATAAACTTAATTCCATAAATCCTTTCAAAGAAACTTCGCATTACTTCGTACATCAGTGGAAAATTTACAAAGATTAGAAATTCCTAAAGTTGCTCGTCAGTAAATTAGATCAGACGCTTTCACCTTAATAATAATCCGTTTTTATTAACGACTTATTCTGATGAACAGACACGTAAAAGTCACAGACTAGAGGTCATACTTTTATTTTAGTTCTCCAACAACGCCTCTGATATTACAGAAAATAAATATTTACTTTTTTCATAATTTGAAAAATGGTTTCTTTATTTATAGCTAACAAACCTTTTAATTTTCTCATTTACATAGAATTATTACATTATTACTCAACCTCATTATGAAATAACGTGAGAATGAGAACACAGGTTTTAAAATTTTGTCTGGTTCGAGCTGGTATTCCGATGATTTTAGGTTTCAGATAATATTCTGGTTCCCCAGTCCATGCTTGCAGTATCATATCAGCTTTCTTAACGTACTAGTGGGATACGATATCTCATATAGTGGTGTCCAACTAATCGGACTACACAGATGTTCATGCTGGTCAATATATCTTGAAAGATTATGTTAAATATATGTGTCGATTTTATCAGATGCACTCATACATTCTATATAAACGAGTTTATATACCCAAACCTGTTATTTCAAACTAAAATGCTAATAAAGATAAAAGTTGAGAAGAACAAATACACAACCTTTTGAAAGGCAAACTGATAGGGGTAGTACGAAATATAAAAATCATTTACCGTTTCAGTTACAAAAGGGCTTAGGCATTAGTTAAATGAACATAGGCATTAGTTAAATAAGCTTAGACATTAGTTAAATGAGCTTAGGCAAACCCCAGGGTTACATCGGAAAAAGGTATGGAGCTTTTTCCCTTTCTATTTTAATTTATAAAGAGCAAAATTCTACCAACACTTACATGGACGGCACATTTGTTGACAAGAGACTCTAACCACTCAATATAGCTCTCAATAGGTGCATCATCTTCCAACAAAGTTTCAAAATCTTTTGCTACTGAAATTGAAAAACCAAAATAAAAATAATAAGTGAAATAATTAAATGTAAAGCATGAATACCTAAAATTTAATTAACAATTTGTTTATGATAAAAAATATTTAATTGAAGAAATAGTGACGACAATTTTCCATCACAGAAGGAACCTAAATTAAAGAGAGGAAGGGTTTTTTTTCATTTACTCCTATGATATTTCTTATAGTTGATAGTTTTAATGCTAGGGAGGAAAGGAGATTAAAGATGAAACTTACTTGAAATTGCATTTCAGTTACGAATGAATGAATGATGACAAGTTTAGCAATCAAGAGTTATTGTTGCTATATAGAAAAGTTCATGCTTATTTTTGGCAGTAAGCACAACTTTACTGCTTTGGCACACGAGTATGAAAACGCGTATATTGATGAAAGCAGTATATTGTCATTTTAATTTCTAATAACTTCTAAGCTGCAGATTTTTAAGTTTCTCAGCTATAGATTATTAAATTTAACTAAGCCAGACATCATATATTGAGACAACATGAGATTCTATTAGCAGAATATGCTATAAGTATTATCTGACTATGACTATATATTTACTAGTATAGTATAAATCTATGATATAAATTTGTTACTAGTATATGATTCTATCGGTAATAGTATATAAACCATTAAAATTAAGTCATTTGGTGTATCGTTTTTGTTTTAAGGCAAAGCATCAGAGACTGATATGAAGATCAATGTTCCCTCTAGTTTTTCTTATACAGCTGTGAGATACAAAAATTTAACTGCTTGTTATATCACTCGAATCAACACGGTTGTTTTAATTTTGGGTCTTTTGCAATCGAACGTTTGAGCAGGAAATAATAAGCAATTATGCAATTTATAAAATATCAATAAGCGAACGCGCTGCTTAGAGGGAATTTTGATTGGGATAATTTCGTTACATGTTTTCCATCATGAACTTCTTCTAGTAATTTTTTTCTTGCTTATTGCCGAATTAACATTATTCCGTTAACATATGCTTCCAAATAATATAATAATATTTTGGTGAAATTAAAAGCACTAAGACAAATAAAAAATAATGCTTTTAATTTAAGGGAATTATCTGTTATTTGCCTGCTACGTATGAAACAATATGTGAAACGATTATGTAAACATAGAGTTTTGTTTAATGTTTTCTTTAAAAACCTCATGTTTTTAGATCCATATGTGACCATTATGTCAATGTTAGTAAAAAGAAATGTTTTAAATCAATGCAATGAGCAGAAAGAGTTATTTCTCTTGAAAAATGCAGTTCTTTACATTAAAACGCATTTGCATTCGAGAGTTCTTTGCATGAAAGGAACGCCTTCGTGGAGGAAACTTGTAAGCGGAAACTGATTCAATTTTTTTCTTACACATGTAAAAAACACAAACATACCCATTCGCCCGGCCCATTTTGAAACATAACTGACTGTTTTTCGAAGTGTCTTTGTCGAAATCCAGTTTTATCTATCTCAATTTAACGATTGTTCAACGAAATATGCAAATGAACTGGAGAAAATGGAAAGAGAGTAGTCAGGTATCCTTAAAATTTCCTCCATGCACTCATTTTTACTCTTAAGCAGAGAGCTATTTGTTAGTCTGACATGATTTAATATTCCTGCTTAATGCAATACAGATTCTTACAGAACTCTGTAGAAAGCAAAAATGATTTGCTGCATGGATGATTAATGATAAAATTTTTCATGCTATATTCAGTTAGTGTGTGAGGTATTTTCTTCCTCCGTCCAGCATGCCTTCGTGGTGTAACGGTGGCATGCTGGACGTGGTGTAACGGTGGCATAGTCGGGGTGTATTCGAGAGGCTCAGGTTCGAGTCCCGATGAGGGCATTACTCACGTAATCCTACTTCAACAATACTAATCATTCTATAGTGGCGCCCGAAATGAAAGGTGGTGGACAATAATTCGTCACCACCAGGATTTGGCGATCGGGTCCCCTAATCCCCACCAGCCTTTAAAAGGAGGAGTATGTAAGCTATTTTCTCCCTCCTTCCAGCATGCCTTCGTGGTGTAACAATAGCGCACTAGCGTGTATTCGAGAGGTGTAGGGTCGAGTCCCGGCGAGAGCACTGCTAATTTTTCACGTAATCCTGCTTCACAATAACCTAATGACTCTACCAAGTGCTATTGGAAGAAATGCTTTTATTTCTCAAATACATTCATTCATTAGACACTTAACGTGACTTTCCTTTTTCACATTATGCAAAATTATTTGTGGCACATCTGCAACGATAATCTTGAGAAAATTAGTTTATACCTTGGTTAAAAAAATCGCATATTGCAATGACGAAGTGAAAAAAAAAAGGAGAGCACTATTCAAACATCTTCAATTAGTTTTCTACATTTTTCAATCGAATGTTTAAATAATAAATTGAAAATATGATTGCTGACATTTATACACGCAAGGTAAGGGGTAGCGAACGAAATGTCATGCCAGTTATTTTATTTATTACACATTTATTTATCCCCGAAACATTAGAAAGCCATTTCATAGTTAATAATCTGAGCATGAAAAGTGAGTTTAATACAGCTTGTGCTTAATCTGTCCACCATTTCATTTCGCAACTTTTTGCAAGCGAACCTTTGCATTTGCTGCTCACGTCTTCCGAAACTGTACGGCACAACTTTCTCGACTCAGCGGCAGCCCTCCTTGTTGATTTGCTGGGACTTCATGTCAAACCCACATAAACCGCTTCAGTGCTTTCAGGTATGTGGACACTTGATGGGCACTATTGATTCTTTTCCAACACAGACCTAGTGGCGAACAATCTGTAAATGGTACGTTTGCAAGGAGCCAATCTTGTACTAAAGAGTGCACGTAAACGTCTTTGTGTTGCCACCAGCTTTTATTTTCTGTTCGACAGTCAATCAGTCGTAATCCACCATCTTTTAAACTGCTGTTTCGTAGCAAGTTTGTAATATTTACTCAGTTTTCCATGAGTAAAAACACAGATTCCTCGATTATAACATTCAATATAGAATATAAAATTTTTATAGATTGAATGGTGTGATATTTCATGCTCTCTTAATTACTTTTGCTATTTGTATTTAAAACTTACACTAAATGATGGAAGAATTAAAATTTTCTTTGTTTATTTCTTCCGTTTTCTTTATTCCGTGAAATTTCACTTAGCGTACATGCATTAATTTATGAATTAACTACATCAAGCAAGGTTCTATACAAATATCATTCATCTTTGTTTATATTTGACTAATAGTACTGAAACTGCTTTATCCAAAGTTAAAAAAAAACCTCGAACTGAAGTTATTCATAGAAAAATGCAATGCTATCTAAATCCTTGTACTGCTGCAGATCTAGTGCTATAAAGAAGGTAAACTTTTGAAAGCCGTTTTTCTAAATAACCTTATTTGGAAAAGCTACCGAAATAAGCAATTCGACAAGAGCACCACATTTAATACCTTCAAGTTGACTTGTTTGTGTCTAGAAAGAGAAGATCCAAACTGATCAACGTCGAAGCGACCAGGCGGGTCGGATCTTCTCAGATTCTTACCTTCAAGCTGAATAACCTTCATTTGTTCTTACAGCTACAGCTCTGTTATCCTGCATAATATACTCGCTGTATATGTAAGTACGTACACACATTGACCTATTTATGCACAGAAAACAAGAGCTAGAATGTTTACAAAAATCTGGCATAATGCGGAAACCTGTATTTTAAATAATCGCTTGAGATACTAGAAGCTTGTTTTCTGCCAAGCATTTTGATAAATTCCATTCCTGAACATCAAGAGAAATCATTTCTATGTGTACCATGCATTTTTTCCCTTGTTTGTTATAGAATGAAGAATTTATGAAAAGTAGTTACTTCAGAAAAGCTTAAATATATTCAAATATATAATAAAAGAATTCACGACTTTTGTAGCGCATTGATGAAGAGATTACAGAAGAGATCTACAGATGAAGAGCTTTTTAGTTGGATTTTCAAACGAAGCAAACCTTCACATAGCATATAGACTAGTTATCATTTTAGCCTTAAAAACATAACTAAATCTAGTCATATATAAAGGTTTCCTTTGTTTGGTAATCCAAACCAAGTTTGCTAAAAGAAATTAAACTATACTGGTTACAGTTTCTAATCATTCGAAATAAATTTGAATCTAGGTCTTATTTTTTCTTTCTGACAATTAATTGCTGTTTTAAAATTGTCCCTATTAAACTGTACTTCTTCTTTTGCAATTAAGCTAATAATTATTGCCCAACACTTATTAATTAAATATTCAATATTGCCATGATTTAAATTGCATAAAGTTGTTCAGCTTACGTTTTAATATTAGCTGACAAGTGGTAGCAGTGTGCTCTGTGCTGAAGAGTGTTTCCCTACAAATTGCATCTAAGTCGAGTTGCCTCCAGTCATGTAACATTTGAGAAGTTATGTCACTGTTGTGGACAACCATTCGAGACGCTTGAGCCAAGTGATTCAAAGACATCTGGCGGCGTAACGTATGAGAAAACCTCGTTGCCACTAAAAAAAATATTTAAATGAGCTTGTATTCGAAATCGATATTTATGATAAACGCTTTCTAAACTTTTACTTACTTTCCAGTTTGACAACTTTAAGATTATCTGGAAGGTGAGCAATGGCTGTTTTTAACCAACTGTCCAGTTCTTCGGCAAACCTCCTGACCACTTTTGTTAAGCTACTCAAAATTAAAATAAGGTTTCATTCTTCGCACTTGAGGAAGAACCAAAATTTTTAAAATGAAAAATAAATTAATAAATGGAAAAAAAACTGAACAAGGAAATTCATATTCAAATAAACATTCCTTTTTCTCACAAATGGTACTAAAATTTATCCATACTACAGGAAATATTGCAGAAAAAGAATGACATGTTGCAATTAATTCAACCTTTATAGTAAATCCTCAGTAACTTCTTTCAGAAGCCGTGAGAAATTAATTGATTTCTAATGATCCCTTATCTTATCATGAATGCTAAAATGTTCTTTGGTTAAAATCAACTAACTATACTATACACAATATTGCTATGATAATTGAAGCAACTTTGTGCTTTAATATTTAATTGATTTGTGAGATATATTTTAATTTTATGACAGTTATTTTAATTCTAAAGTCACTTTCCTATCAATTCTTGTTTCCACTTACAACTCTCTACTAAAATGAGTTTTTAGAATCGCGTTGAATGCAAATGAGTTAGAAGAAGCCTTTAAGGAAGGTTCAGCTTACTTCATGAGAGAGAGAGCTAGGAATCCTGAGTAGCGCGTGTTTGCCTTCGGGCTAAATCTCTGTTAAAACTGTTACGCTCGGCCGTTTATTACGTGCCTTTTGATATTCGCCGACTAGTTTAAATCAAGAGCCAACTACTAATAATTGTGCTAGCTTCAGCTAAGTCTCTTAGTTAGTTCTAATACAGTTCTTATTTCTTATTTTGAGTTTAAGCTCAAGTAAAGGCTTTGTTGTAAGCCCGAGAAAGGGGCCAACTGTTCATCTTATTTTGAATGAAATAAAGGGTAGTTAACCCGTCTTGAATCTACGTCTTTAGTTATTTGAACTAAACGATAGGTCGCTTAACAGTTCACTAGGTTCCTTGGCATTTACTTTAACCAAAAATATTGAGGAACCCTACAAATTTCTGCAATTCTAACAGAAACTGCAGTGCTATATCTTTATCTAATGTCGAAATTCCACTTGCCTGCGCTGTTATTCTCCCATTTCCCTCCTCGACGCAGATTTTATTTTTTCAAACAAATGATTATATTATAAGGTATTTGCTGATTCCTGATTATATTATAAGGTATTTCTCCCGCATTCTTAGCATGCCTTCGTAGCGTATTGGTCAGCACGCTGGGCGCGTATTCCAGAGGTCTGTGGTTCGATTTCCGGCGAGGGCGTTGCTCATTTTTTCATGATTCCTGCTTCCAAAAAATACCTAATGTCACTACAATATTACGGATATTATTTGAATTGCTGATTATGTTATGCGCACACTCTGCTCCGCATAGAATTCTTGATGTCATAAAAAAGGGCTTCATGAGATAAAACTTAGTACATAGCTCGAGGGTAAGCTCTGAAAAATTATTTTAACTTCTAATAATTACAAGAATTCGGTAGCTGAATAAGCACGACGCTTACCAAGCAATACGGCCACAATTTTTGGTGAAACAAATCGCTAACTCGGCTTACCATTGATTCAGTTAATCTCGAAGAATTTTGTTTTAGAGATCCATGAATCAAGTTGTACTGGATGAAATTCCCAAAATTTCCTCATTGCGACGATTTTACAGAACATTCACTCAGTGAATTTAATTTTATAGAATACAGCAGATTTTCAATAGAATAGAAATTTTACAGAACTCACTCAACGAAAAATCATGTCGAGTAGATTCTCGATTAGCAAGAGATCCAACGATCCATGCTGATCAAGGAATCTCTCCTTGCTAGTTTGCAAGTGGCTTTAGTTAGGGCATGCTTTTTTGGTATGGTTGTTGATGACACTGGCATGGTTGTTGATATTACCTGTGTGTAGCTGTGATTTATTACGTTAGAAAATGATATTCGCTGCTCCCATAAGTTGTTGTCAGTACTATCTCGTCAACGGATCAGCGTGTCCTCATTACATCTTTAATGCATACTAGAAGTGATCTCTTTTGAAGCTGTTAGCATCTTAATCTGTCACTTCAAGGAAGCTGTAGGAATGCTCTCAGAATTAGCAGAAAAAGCAATAGTCATTCGTCTTCATAATAGTCACCTCTTCTCCAGGTTCTCGCTGACTGATTTTTATTTCCCATACAGACTCGAAGTAAATACTCAACACTATAATGCACCTTTTTGTTACCTCAAATAGCTCTGGTATGTCCTCACATCAAGCACTCACGACGACGATGTTTAACATTGAAAGCTATACTGAAAAACTACCTCAGTCAGTCAAAGAAAAGTTGTGAGTATCCGGAAGGTCTACGTATAATCGGCAGAATGTCGTCAACTGTGGGTAATGGAGTCACTAGTCGATGAACGTTTTTAACGTTTGTCTTAGTAGTTTAGTCTCAGTCTGGTATAAATTACATCTAACCTGATGTATGCCAATTCGGCCCTTTTTGTTGCATTATATTGAATTTCTGTCGTAATACGATGCAAAGATCAACTTCCTATTTCTGGGCTTATAACTTCGATGAATGATACTTTTGATAAATTCCTGAGTTAAGAGCGACATCTCACATCCAGTTTAATCTTAATGCATGAAACAGCAGAAAAAATCAATTTCCATAGTGTAAAAAATTTCAAATATTAGATTTACAGACTAACTTTCTCCCTTTATCACACTTTCATAATATATCCTCGATCGGAAAAATATGCATAGCTTATTTTTCAAAACATATTTTAAAATTTTCATAGATCTGCTGATATATATTAGCAACCTTATTCAAAATTTCAGGATAAGGAAATGTTTAAGCCAGTAATACTTGAAACTGATACTTACCACATTTAGAATAAGTCTTGGAGATTTATTTTATAGCGCTGATAGTCTTATAAGGTATTTCTCCCGCCTTCTTAGCGTGTCTTCATGGTGTAGTGGTCTGCACGCTCGGCGCGTATTCGAGAGGTCCGTACGATTCCCGGCGAGGGCATTGCTCATTTTTCACGTCTCCTGCTTCGAAATCACCTAATGTCTCTACAATGGCGCCCGAACTAAAAGGGTGGTGGGTGATGATTCTCCACCCCCAGGATTTTGCGATTGGGTCACCTAAAAGCCCCAAAAGCCCCAGTCGCCCTTTAAAAGGGGGAGTATATAAGGTATATATAATTTCTCCCGCCTTCTAAGCATGCCTTCGTAGTGTAGTGGTCTGCACGCTGGTCCGTATTTCACAGGTCAGTGGTTCGATTCTCGGCGAGGGCGTTGCTCATTTTTCACCACTCCTGCTTCGAAATAACCTAATGTCTTTACAGTCTTACATTGATATATTCATTTGAACTTCGCTTTTTTAGGTGTAAAATTATTTCAAACATGTTAGAATGCATATTATTTAACACAGCAAATTTTCGGAATTCGCTAAGAATATGATCAAGTGTACACGTAGCGATATTTACTGCCGATAAATAGTTCTGATTATCAAGACGCTAAATTTTAAGGTGAATTTAAATTCGCTAGTCATGCTATAACATCCTAATTATTCAATATTTATTTGCATATTAGAATTACATATTCTAGTAGATACCAAATTATGTGCCATGAGTGGTTAACGGGTGTATCCAATATTTTCACAGAAATTAGACTTATGCCACGTGATTTTAGACTTAAACTATTGATCTGTTAATTGTGTGATAGGAAGAATACCTAGGAGACACTCTCCAAAACCACTGTTTTTGACAAGCACTCATCAGTTTATCAATTGGCTTGAAAATTACGTTCAAAGAAATAATTTCAACAAATTCTTATAGATTCAACGCCCTTTCATAGCCCAAACTCCATAGGAATCTACTTCTGTAAAAGTAAATTTCACTGAACTGTCTTATTACAATGCAGAATAGACAAAATGTGATGGCAGGGAACTAACTGGCTTTTGAGTCGTTAAAAAATGCATACGCTGTGGAAACTTTTGGGGAAAAAAAGCTTTCTTCGATAGCCCTACAGTTTAAAAAAAATCTATGCCGATTTCGAGAGTGGTATCATATAGGTCTCTCTTCTTCAAAACCAACAAAGTTTTGCGTTTTACACTGGTGGGTTTTTCTTCCAGTCAGCTGCCGTCAAAACGCAGCTTTCTTGAAAAGAATCAATGTGGAATAGGAAAGGAGGCGGCTATGTCCAGTTTGATCACAAGATTTCCAAAATATGCGCAAGGAAAAAGGGGCTCACTCTTTTCATCAGTCACGATTCCTTTATTCAATTATATGATTGCTCAAACTATGTATGTATTTAGTATATTTTATGTAAACTGATTGTGAATCTGGAATAAAAGTTTGATTTTTTTTTTTTTTTTTTTTTTTTTTTTTTTTTTTTTTTTTTTTTTTAAAGTTTATCAGCTTAACCACATGAGCTGCAGGTTGAAACTGTTAGATTATGAGCAATTATTGTCTTTCCTTTTGCTTATTCTTATAGTATAATTGGTAGCACGTCCGATTAGCTATCGGGAGATCCAGAGTTCGAATCTCGGAGAAAGCATGGCTGATCGTTCATGTTTCTGCTTAAAACAAAAATTAAATTAAAAAAAAAAAAACTAATAGCTCTATAAGGTGATTCTAATGACGCTACAAGATATTCTGACTTTGGGCGCCTTATAAAAAATCTGATACACCAAAAGAGCGACAAATTGAAATTGTTTGAGAACCACTGCTATATATACAATAAAATAAAGCCACAGTTATGTGATATAGCTGCATTTAGTTTTGCTTATCTCAGCTTGGAATTATTAACTGTAGTTCAATATTTATCTCTCATATGTTTGAAATATATTTATAAAAATCGAAATTATAGAAATATCCCTAAGTTACGCAGCACTTCATTTTTAAACCGATAACAGTATTCAAACGACTTAAGTCGGTGCAAGTATATCCATAGACACAATGTTAAAATGGGAAGGATCGTATCAGAAAATTAATTTTCGCTATTTGATGCGAAAAAAGGTGAGACAGAGGATATTCGTTTGCAATTAAGGGAATATTTAATATAAATGGAATTAAAATTTATGAGAATTGTGTGGGGTATGAAAATTATTAATATTACAAACGTATGTAATTTAATAATTATGGAATAAACCCATCATGTAGCGACAAGAGAGTTTTTGAAGACTCTTAAAGAGGTTCAGTACTTGAGTTTGGTTCAGAGAAACTTCATTTTACACATACAAACATCTAATAACAGGCTTTCCAGCAGCCTCATGACAAGCTTTTGGCAGGTTCATCTCCTTCCTGTTCAGAATATTTTATTCCCCCCCCCCTTTCGTTCATATTATTGTTGTTTACTCATTTAAAGATGTGTCTTCGAAGTTGTTCATTCTAGTGTCAACAAGATTTAACCTTTCTAATAATTTTGAAAGGGGCATAATCCCCCCTATAAAATCAAGGTAAGCTTTATCAAGCTTTTATTTTAATAGAAATTTGGTTTCAAATTTCAGAAGATCATTAAAAGATAATTCGTTTCCTTAATTCTTAAAAAAATTTCTTTCACTTGTTTAGGGCTTAGAGTCGATGTCTCTGCTCAAGGGCATGTAAATCTTGGTTTTAATGCATATAAAGTAACAACGCGCGAATTTTTTTTTTTTTTTTAAATAAAGCCTCAAAAACAGTAATCTGAAAATAGATTTTAACAATTCTGAAATGTAAAGCAAAGCTGTTGTCCTTTTAGTTTCATAAATTGCGCAGGTTTTAAAAATTTCTCTCGTATGCAGTCTGAGGTATGATACTAAAAAACGATATCTAACATATGTCCACCTCCTCCTAATCAGCAGGCAGTTCACGACGACCCTTTCGCAGAAGTTTTCTTTGATTTCGCGAATTATCTGTTGAGTATCTCTCCTTAACTTGGAAACTTTGAGGTTTGTGTTAGTTTTTCAGTCCGAAAACTTTGTGGTAAACGTTAGACTTCCCATAACCCCATAAAACTATTGTTAAGGTGGACGGTCACAAGATTTCGTAGGCCATTCCGGTCACCTGGAAATTTTTCATGAAATGCGGTTATTATCTCGTGAGATTTATGGCAGATAACCTCAGCTTAAACCGCTTATTCCCGGTATGCAGAGCTGACATGAAGATCGCGAGAAATTTACGAACCGTCTTTGCATAGCACTCCTTGTTTTTGTAATGAGGTTTTAAGATTGACGCGGTGTTACCCATTGAATGCTCAGTTAATCGAAGCAATGTGCATGTAACGAAATTAAGAACAGTGCTGACAGCCTTAAAATTAAATTATTACACATAACTGTGAACTGTGATATCCGTTCAAAAAAAATGCTGTTTACGGCTGGAGCTTATCATATTACCTCAATTTTAAACCGTAAACTAGAGTTTATGTAATAGTTGAAGAATGTATTTCAACTAACCTTTCCGGCAGCGTATGTAACATGGATGGCAACAAGACGTTGGATATAGTTCGATACAGGATACAATCACATACACCTACTAAATTTATGAGAGCATTTGATTCTAAAACTGGCAGAAGATGGGGAGGAATACCTTGCCAGAAATGCAATAGGAAACTCTGTACCTGTTGAAAGATAGAAAAATGATGAAAACCAGTTTTCGTTTTTGTGTTAATACATAAAGAAACAAATGATAAAAAAGTACTTCATCAAAACTGGCTCGAACAATGGTATCTAGCAGTCTTTGACAATGGGTTCTGTACATCATTAGGAACGTGCTCATCTGCAAAAGAAATTAAAAAAATTCAAGTGTGTTGCAATATTGAGAATGGAAATTAATACTATATTGCATCTAATAATGTATTTATTTTACAGACGAAAAGTTCTGGGGGGAAAATATTAATACCTAACGATTTAGAAATTCATTTATAGATTGTGAGAAGTAAAGATAATTTTTGGTTAAAATGGTAAAAATTCGAGGTATGTTTTAAGACAGGAATTTATTACTGAATCTCTGAGTTAATTATACTTCCAGTTTTATTTAGAATACTTTTATATGAGAGTGGGCAAGTTACCTAATTTATAATCTTTAACTGCTAGACTTTATAGAGTACACATTTAGTTTTACTAACCAATTATTTTACGCTAATTAGCTTTTCTGTTTTTCTCGCTTTCCATTTTTCTACCAGAAGGCTAATTTCTAGCTCGTGCTTATTCAAATGAAGTAGAAAGAGTTAGTATTTGATGTAAGGGTTTAGTTTAATTTCCTAATAATTATTTTTTATTTTGAATTCTCTTGTTTCTCACCTACAACTCAGTTGTTCTGGGTACTGAGTATTTTATCTTCTTTGAAGCATTTTTTTACAGGTAGAGAATTTAGGTACCTTAAAATGATGGGCTGCAGAAATTTGCTGCTTCCTAGTGCCTACTGTTTAACTTTCTAGAGTGCGGAAGTGCGTTTTGTGCAATTATTGCTTGTTTATGCAATATTTTTTAATAATTTACAAGTTCAGTTGTATTTCCCTTACTTTGTTGCAAAATCCTATCTATAAAACTGAAAAGTATTGTATTCAGAGCTGTTTACTTCCGTAATGGGTTTTAATAATACATCACTCACCGTTTTTTGAGTGAAAAGGTACATTTTTTAAGTAAAAAGGCATTTTTTAAGTTGCACAAGCACTGTTTTCTAGATAAAGTTTTATTATAGCTAATTACAAATTTATTATTATATTTATTTATACAAGGAACGTAAAATGTAGCGCCTCTGCCAACTTAAATTTAGAATAACTAACAGTAACTAAATAAATAAAATAAAAGCGAAGCTTTAGTAACTATGAGAAAACATATTGCTGGCATGATGGTTAAGGTTTCATGTAAGTCTAAAAATTAAAGATTTTTTTAATAGTAATTCATTCAAAATAAGTCAACAAATAAAGGCAGTCTTATTTTCTAACGTGAATGAATTTCCTTCCATTATTACTTATTTCTTCTGTTGCTCTTTCTATAACTTCTGTAACACTTATTCCTTGTGTTAGGATTTCTAGAATTCCTTACAGCTTATGTTGTTAAGATAAAAGAGCTTAATAAGAAGTTCGAGCATTATTTCAAGACATATATTTGTATATTTATTTATACATTGCAAATATCATCAGTGATATAAATTTGTACTCTAATTCAATGCATTACTTAATTTTGATCAAATACGCCATACCAGGCATTGCTTTACTTATGCAAATGAGAAACTGGAACAAGGGACACGTACTACATCTAAAACGGTTGCCTCTACGCGAAATTAATGCGCCTAATGGAAAAATTAATGAAATAGGAAACCTCAGTGGACCACATAAGAATTTATTTACCTTAACTTCATCTAAGATTGAACCTCATTAAACCGTTAATTAAAAACTAAATAAAAATGTAAAATATGTGCAGATTAGGAGAGCAATTTTATGACAGATATGAGTTTAGTTCCTTGATTACTAAAAATTTGGCGTATAATTATGAAAAATTAAATGTCAAAAAATTGAATGGGGAGAAATTTAAAAAAAAAAAAACGCTTTAAAAATTACATGAAGGAAGACAAATTAAATGCAGAGCTATAATGTTCTGAGCAGAAATGTTAACTCTGTTATTTTCTTCTTCTAAGCTTACTAATATTAGAGTAACTTTACCCATTTATTAATAGAAAAATGTTCTGCTTTAACAAAGAAATTTCTATAGTTTTGGAAATATCAATCAGGAATGTTATTTTAGAATTCGTAAAGGCATTCGCACCCCCTTTAAAAATACAAAACTGCACAAGTGATTTTAATGAACCAAGCTTTACACTGGAGAGTATGCAATATACCTAGAAACATTTCTTGTACATTGAAGTTGTAGGATTTTGTGTAAATTAACTAGCTATTATGATTTCAACCTCTACTTTAACTTTTTCTTTCCGTATTTCTCACCAGTTTGCAAATTAATTGTTGTGTATTTAGGCCGAGGTTTTGAACATTTTAGATTAAGAACATTTGGCAGCCACGCCTTGCAGTTAATTACTACCTTCTCTTAATTTAAAGAGTTGAATAAAACTGGTTATCTTAACCTTTCCGATATTTTGTTATTTGAATTCAGGTAGGATAGCTGAATCGCTTTGCAGTCTAGCCGGGTCTAAAGAACATCGAGTTAAATTTCTATACAAGCAAAGTACCCTTCAATTTTGTGTAAAATATTAAAACTCAATAAATTTATTAAGGAATTTTCTTACCTTTTCGATGTCTACAGATGGAGGCAGATGGAGGTCCTTAACACTAGGAAATTCAGGCAGAACAGTTCCGTTTCTGGAGCGTGTTGAGTAAAGAGGCGCCTGGAAACAACTGAATTAGTTGTCGTTGAATTGAAATTGCGTTGAATTGTCACTATAAACCTCCCTTTCCCACTCCTAATGACAGGTATTTCCTATCACAGCACTTTATATATGTTATATACATATGTATATATTAAAAATCTAACTATTCCTGAATTTCTTCACGCCAGGCCTCTTTTCCGAATTAAACAGTTGAAATTAATTCTCTTTTCAACTATTCACAATGCGAATTGTGATTTGATTACTGTTTGAAAATCTCTTTTATAAGAATAAAAAATATATGAAAAAGAATAAAGTCAACACTCGTTATACTTGAGAACATGATAATAAACATAGCTTAATGCATTCTAAAAGAAGGGGGAACCCGAAAAAACTGTATTTAAAATTTAACAACAAAAATTTTCAAGAAATTTATGGCATTGCTAAAGGAAGTAATCATTCCACTGAAATTAGTAATATTTCTCTTTTTGCAAAAAACTCAGTTTCATGAATAATTATCCAATGCTCCAATTAGTGATTGCAATACCGTACCAAAAATGCATTACCGGTATTTGATATTTTCTGAAACGTTGTACCGGAATATCGCTATTAATACCGGTATTAGGAATTTTTCGAAAACGGTACAAAAACGCAGTTGTTTCTTGTCGTATTTATTGACTTTATATACAGAAAATTTATAAACTACATAAACAATTTTGTTATGCACAAATATATAATGAAGGAACAAATGTTACAATCAAACATCGTTAATAAGAGCAGTAAAATTATAATTTATAACGTTAGAAACAGAAAATGTAACATAAAAATAAGCCATTATATTATTACAGTAGATTAAAGGAACAAAATATAAGAAGAGTAAATATCACATAAAAACTAGTTGTGTTCATTGTATAATATCTAGTAATAGAAAAAAAAAACTAATTTATGAATTGGAAATATTTGAAATGTGATCGTTGAACTGCCTTAAGCCTGGAACGTATTTTTGGGCACATTACCTGCAGTTAAAAATGTTCTTCCTGCGTCCATGCCGGTTTGTTTTGATGGTAATAATGAGCGATATGCTTTCTCAATTATTTGAAAGTCCTATATGTTACATACAAAACTTTTAAGTGTTTCCGAGTTCAAGAACCCCAAGCTGAATACTACGAACATAGTATAATTGCTGTTTTGCATCAATCAACTTTCCAACTTTTTTCATCAGCGTTGCTCCATCAGTAGTTATGCAGACAATATCTTCTTTCAGAGATAATCAACGTTTCTCCAGTTTGCAGTCAACTACTTCTACACATTTTGCAGCTGGTAAATTTCCTGAGACATCTGTGAGCCCTATATTCCAAATTTTCATTTCAGAATGAATATATTTAAGTAACGCCTATTTCGTACACTTGTTCATTCGTCAAATGTGAGACTAAATTTTATACCATTTAGCATTAATTATGTTAATTGATTTTACAGAGGATTGCGAACACTGTCACTATAGTTTAAAACAGTTCTTCTTATAGTATTAACAGATTTTGGTATATTTTTTAAACTTTCTTGCAATTAATGACTTTCTCAATTCAACTGTAGTACAAAATACTCTGAACGGCAAAATGTCTATTGTCATTTTAGATAAAACATCACAGACATAAATAATTTTTTCTATAAGAAAATCTATCATTTGTGATGCCTTTGGTTTAGTAATACCATTTTTAGGTGAGTTAGGATTTGAGTCAGATTCTGTTTAGTCCAAAGGCGCAATTTGCCTAGGACTATTAATTTCGTTTTGGCATTTTGCGTCGATTCACGATAAGCGTTGTTTCACTTTTCAAATTGTTGCTACCAAATATTATAGCCCTGTATTATATTTAAAGAAATTAAATAATGAAGAATCTGCATGAATGTATGCATGTTTCTCGCATTGTGATAAAACAACGGTACCTAGAGCCATCAAATTTGAATAACGTTATCTTCCATAGAATATTGGCATGTGGAACCCCTAATTTGAAATTTGTTTTATTATCCATTTCATATTTTGTAACACTTCAACGAATTTTTGATTACAAACTCAACGATTTCAAATCGAGCAATGATAACACTGCACGAGGCGGAAAAAAAAAAATAATAATAATTATCTCCAGCGCGCGAGACTGCGCATATGAAATTCTAAATGTATGCTCATTTTAAAATTATTTTGCCATGTCGCTGAACTGAATTTTATAGTTTGAGTACGTAGACCATGATATTTAATAAATAAAGATAACACACAAAATGTTAAAAAAGCGACCCTTTGGACGTAATTTAAAAGCGGAAACTTTCAGATTGTTTTTTTTTTTTTTTCGATAAATTATACTAGCCAGTTTCCCTTAGAATGTCCTACACGAACGCCTCCCTCCTCTTAGGCAGACGGGCCCACCAGCGGCCGAGCGGTAAAGTCGCTGAACACTGGTAGTTCGGTCCGAGGTTCGAATCCCGCTAATGGGCTGGCTGCATGGGTGTTTTCGTGGTTTTCCCCATGTGTATCGTGTATACTAGCCAGTTTCCCTTAGAAAGTTCTCCACGAAGGCATTCTTCCCTTTAAGCAGATAGTCCTCGTGTGCTTTGCCATAATTGAATAGTCCCAATCTCATCTGTGTGGAAAATTCTAGTAGAATAAAAAAAAAAAAAAAAACTTCTGAATTAACCGTCTTTACATTTACTTAATTTTTGTAATTTCTATCGCAGTCTTTGCGGTGTTTTATAAACTTTACTTGACTATAAAAAAAAAAAAAGAGAGAGATAACACGAGGTAATGTAATGCAAATTCGATTATTAATTTCTGACTGCTCTTATTTTTAGACTTCTTTAATTTATTATTTGTATACAAGCCAGTTTCCTTTAGAAAGTCCTCCACGAAGGCATCACTCTCCTTAGGCAGATAGCCCTCGAGGCTTTGCCGTAATTAAATAACCTAACCTAACCTAACATCTTAGGTAGACAGTCTTCGTGTGCTTTGCTATAATTAAATATACCATATAACATACCAACTTACATACAGATACAGTAATGATACTGCAGCTGTTAAAAACTTTAATTAAACAGGTTTATCATGATTCCCTTAAATTATATAAAGTAAATAACTTAATTAATAATCAGATGCTTAAATAAAATCTATATATAAATCATATTAGACTGTATTGAATTATTCAGATTATGACAAAGCAAGTACATTCGTGGGGAACTTTTGTAATGGGCGTTGATTCATATTCATGTTACAGGTCACTTTTGGGAGGAACGGAAGCCCACCAGTGGTCAAGTAATTAAAACTTCGAATGCTAGTGGTTGGACCTGGATTCGCACCCTGGCCAAACATGCTCGTTGCATACGTAGTTTCGTGGAGTTTTTGTTGCAATTATAAGATCTTTTTTCGCTTAAACCCTTTTATAAAAGAGAAAATTTCCACCTCAACTGGTTTTACGGAATTTCTTCCATTTCAAATGCGGTTAAAAATCAATCAACAAATATTTCACATTTATACTCTAATAGCCGTACTGCACCTACGCACAATTTTCTTAACGCAAGGTAATAATTTTTCAACGCAAGGTAACAATTTTTCTTTTTCATTCCTAGCTTCATTTTCCTTCCCGTTTATTTTGTTTTATTTCTTGAAACATTTTATGATACTTTAAAGAAAAAAAAAAATTCAGGATTTTTATTTCTTTAATTTTTTATTATTATTATTGTAAATCTTTGAATCAAATTCAATATCGACTTGAACTTTTCCTAAAACTTTTTCTTAAGCTAAGATTACGCATGTTCTGGAATTAATAAGTCTGTTTCAAGTTACAAGTTCATTGTAGTTTATGACAAAATATACTTTCAGTCCAAATATCGGAAAGGTATTTTTAGAATTTTGTGGGTTGTTTTACTAATTTGCTTTCATAAGGGGGAAAAGTTTATAATAATTAAGCTGAATAAAAAATATTAATAGTCAGTTTTTCCTGTTTGGGGACTATGCCTTGATCGTAGACATGTACTTCTCATTACAGTTTTCACAAAATAGGGAAATTAATTTCTGTACTGGGAATAGAAATTTTTTTAAACAAATAAAAATATCCTTTTACACGGTCCCTTAGAGCTAGTTCTAAAGTGTCTACTATACATTGACAAGTTATATGAAAAAAGTTATATAATTTAATCTTCAAAACTCATTGAGATATGAGTAATTAACATTTTCTAGGGGTGCTAGTTACAAAATTAATAATTAACACTTTTACCTTCTAAGAATCTATTCAACACGAACGCAAGCAGCTTTTATTTTGTGTATTTTGTGGCTATTCCTTTAAGTTATACATAATATAAGTATTACTTTAGGGGATTTCGTTTGAAAATATGCGTTGAAAAGAGATCATCAAATTAAAATTTAGTGTCCTCCCAAGTTTTGCATGTGAAGGTTTTTTCATTTAATATATTAAAGCATGATATTACAATAGTTGAACTTCCTGTTCTGCGAGGACTATATACGAATGAAAAGTTAAACTTCATATTTTCAAAACCATTCTACCCCCAAGCAGTTTAAAATAGTTTCATTAAACACTCTGACTTATTTAAGTTATTTTAAAAACTCATTTACCTAGAAGTACCAGTCTAGACTCTCTATGCATATATATAATGTAAATTAAGCTACTACCTTTAATTTGCATCAGCCCCTTAATTTTCTTTCAATTTGGATACTGCCAGTTTCCATGTCTTACGTAACGCTGGTGACTCAGCTAATTTGTTAACTGAAATTCAAACAAGCAATAAAGAAACTTTTAATAGCCAATGAGAAAACTGCAAACCAAAACCTTTCTCCGTTTTTAACTAGGCCTCCGTTTTAGTGTACATCACATTTCGCTTTCTGTTTCCCTTCCGCCTCCTTGTTGTACTCTTAAAAAATGTAATAAATAAAATCTGTAAGAGGCGCTGTCATTGCTTCTTTTATTTGAGTTGAGTTGATGAAATGCCTGTCAACCATAAATAAAAAGTAAATGTTTAAATACGGCTAACGACAGCAATTACTTCATTCTGCATCTACAACATATCATCATGCTTTCAAGTATTTCCCTATAAAGCTTATCATCTATCTTCACTAAAATTTACAAAATTATTAACGTATCCATAAAGATATATTTCGACATTAATCGAAATTAAATATCCATAAAGTAATATTTGAAATTTCTGTAAACTTAAAGGAATAACTAAAAGCAACAGTAGTTTACTTTTAAGATTATTGATTTTGAACTAGGTGAAATGGAACTAGTTATTAACTTTGTAACTAGCCCTCATAGTTGTAGATATAGTAATATATACAACTTGTTATTTCGGACTGTTCTCATCAAAGAGAGATAGTACACTTTTTGCTATAATTCTGATTTATTTTGTTGTTTACAGAAATTAATAAAATGTTTCCCTTTTCTCTTAAATTCAAGCATTAATTAACATAAACTTCTAATTGATTTTCAAAACTCCTTTACCGTTTTTATTTAGGAGATTCATCTTTCTTTTCTGATGGAATATTCAGTGATGAAGCATCAAAATATATGTATAAAGTAACAAAATTCCTAATTTCGTTACTTTATACATATATTTTGATGCTTTATCACTGATCAGTGAGTATATTTCTGGCCATTTTCTGTTTTAGCAGTAAAACAGAAACTGAATATTAAACTAAGTAAGTTATTTTCTGTAATATTTTACTTTTTCCCAAACATGGCAGATTAATTTCACAATGTTATAGTAGAATTGTATTTTCAGAAAGCAAGGAAATTTCATAAGCTATTTTTCAAACCAATAAATGAATACGATTGCCATCTTATAGTAAGGAATGTCTGAAATAATCACAACAGAAAAGAAATAATAAGGATATCTTTTAGCCTTCCAACAACACAAAGTAATGGGATTTTTGCTTTTTCTTCACCATAAAAGTAATAAACGATTCTGGAGCTTCATTAATGATTTGGAAAAGGGAGGAATGAAAAATTAGTCATACTGCGACTGATTATGCATTCTTTTGCTTAATTAATGATGAAGGACTATGAATTGAATCCGCATTTACCAAAATTCTGCTTAGAAATGACATAATTAATTGCAGTATGTTTTAAAATAACTATTCTTTTAATCATCAAACATACATAGTAATGTGTATGCTTATCGGAGAGCTGATCTTTATATTTAAATTAAATTATCATAGTATGATTTATTGATTATACGAGTTAGAGATTTTGGTAAATTTAACATAGGAGTCAAGAATACCTCAAGACTAAAAACTAATCGCAGTTTTAATTTCAATTCATAAGGAAAGGTCGAAATATTTTAGGTATTAAATCGAATTTTTCTTCTCAGATGGCATTGCTATGGTAATGGTACGCAAATAACCCATTGCTTACTGATGAAAGATTCTAGATTTAAAAATAAAAAGGACTTAGCTAAATTTTCACTTTCGGAGATTTCGTAAAGTGGAAGTTCATAAAGGTGGGGGTATTATTGAAATTCATTAAGTATGGATGCTAGAAGTCTATCCATTATGACTAGTATCATACATTTTTTTTTCATCTCGTTTGAGTTAAAATGTGTAAATTAACTCAAGTAAACCATCTTATTTTCTTCGTATATTTCAAATATACTAATCTGGTAATTCCATTTATAAATAAGGCAAAGATTATTATTATTATTAGTTTGGCGGTTATGACTTCCAAACAAATGAAGATTAGAAAAATCTTTTCTAGGAAAAATTAATTAGGGAACGACAGAGCTAAATGCGCCTTTTAAAATTAAACTGCAATCTAACGTAAACCTATTCTTATTCGCTTTAATGAGAGTAATTGAAAACAGTTAACAATTATAGGAATCTGGTTGTGGAAAAAAAACACTTCTTTCCCCAGTTCCTAAAATTGATGAGTCTAATACACGAAAACATTGTACTGAACAAGGCAAAAAACAAATAATTTTCCTACATTTCTTGAAAAATCAAAAATTGTTTAAAGGCAGACACTTGGATCATAAATATCTAATTCCCTTCCTTGTTTTAATTATTAAATGTATTTCAATTACTGTTTCAGATCTGTTTAGTACTTTCAGAATAACATATTGATTAGATTAAGAGAGATATGAAGCTATGCTTGGATTAAAAATGGTAATTTTTTAAATAGAAATGATTTATTTTCGGAGATTAAATAAACTGACATTATTTGCATACAGTTACATATATATATATATTTAAAACGCCTTTTATAACTTTTAAACCTTACAAAAACTAAAAAGCATGAAATACTAACATTTCAACATGCATTGATAAAGCAGAAGTGTTAATATTCTAATTGCAAAAAACTAAAAAGAAATTTTAAGTAGTCAAATTTATGTTCCATAATGCTAAAACGCTAAAAAAGTAAGAACACAGGTGGAAAACTATGCATTTGAGTTGTATAAGAGGAGTAAGAGCAGACATATCTGAACATAGTACGTTTCACTGAAATGGAGAAAGCGCTAACAACCGGTGACTTTATCTGCTCTATAATTGATTGACTTTTACCTGACGCAAAAATTTTCCTAAAAAAACTGACACGATATTATATATGGAATTGTAATTGCGAAACCTAATAATAACCATAACATCGTTCTCACCCACTCTTAGCAAGCTATTCTTTACTCTGAGATCAATATTTCCTGAAATTCTGAAAGAACACCACAAATCTCATAAGGTTAACAATAAAGTCGGGAAAATGTAAGCCTTCTAAAAATGATAGATCTAAGGATTTTACACACGAACGAACTTCTAAGAAAATATGTATCCACTCACCTGTTTGGCAGCATCCCTCCGAGGCTCGCAGCTGAAAAGAAAGCATTCAATTTGTAGTCTTGTCGAATTCTATTGTATTTGAATTAAAATGGTGCTCTAGAAATATGCCAGGGAAAGGGCGGATTAGCCATGGCAACGGCAGTCTACCCTTAAAAGAGATATTTTTTTCTCTTCCCGTTTCCGGGAGACGGTCGTTGATGCGCAAAGCATTCTTCGAAACAACAATTTCATCCTTACCCTATAGCCCCTTTCTTGGAAAAGGATATCTGGAAATATGCAGAGCTCTCCCGGATCGCTATCCCATAATAGTGGTACCTGAAAAACACAACACTTTGTAGCCAATTCCAGCGATATGCATCTTACGAAAGTGACTCGATTGCGACAAAGGCTCACCTGGATTGTCCTCTGGTCCCTAATCTTCGAGTAGTTAACTGAGGAAACTGCTGCCGAATGATCTGAAATATATATATGTATCAGAATGGTATTATTTGAATGTTCGGACCAAACAAATTGAAAGTTTTTTATTAACAAAATAAAAAAATATTTGAAATAATTTTAATTTTTCATACTAAATATTTATTATAACATACATAAATAATAATATGCATAGGAAAAATTCAAATTTATATTTATTTTCTGTTTGAAATCTAAACTTTGATACCTGCAAGAAATTTATGTTAATTACAAATTTTGTTTCAAATTTATTGACAGCTAAGTATTACATTTTTATTTCAAGCAAACCTAAAATGTTTAATTAATCATTAAATAGTTTATTTTAATTGAAACTAAAATTAAACAAATTATAGAAGTTTTCTAAGTGGAGAAAGAATTGAATAAATGATGACAGCCTAGACTCTTTCTCTTATTTATTTTTTATGCTTAAATTAAAATACATAAGTTTGTATGTAAGTAATTATAAACTTCTTTATTTCTTGCTACAGCTGGACACTGATAGCATTTTTGTTTTGATAAAGTTTATAGCCTTGAAGTGAAATTACTAGAAATTAGCTTCGTCACCAATTGTGAATACTCATTGGTCATTCGGGTTCATTTCTTATTGGTTTTCACCTGTGAAAAAGAGCTGTTCGCATGTAATGTATTCCTAAACAAATTGATTATTCTTAGCTAAAAAATTCTTTGACTTCCATATGCCAAGATTACTTACAAATGGAAGATAAATGGTTCAAATCCCGATGAAGGTATAGTTAATTTTTTTATTTTTTCCGCTCCAAAATGTGTAAGGATCCCTATATTGGAAGTTAATCTTAATTTTCAATATCTTAATCGTTTTTTCTTACCATAAAATATCTGTGAAATTTTGCATGCTTCATTTCATGCATTCATTCATCTTCGCATTAATAATTGAGCATTTATATCGTCTAAAGCATAAAGTAACACATAGCTTTTCTATTTTTAATGAGATTTTTCTTTCGAGCATTTCTGTAAAATTCGTACTTAGTTATACAAAATTGCTAAAAATAATAAATAGCCCTTGTGGCTTACTGTAATCAGATATTACGTAGAACCTTATTAGGTTTATCGATGCAGGAGGCGTGAAAAATATGCAATGCCCTGGCCGGGTTTTGAGCTCCGGACCTCCAAAATTACGTGTAGGATGGGCTTCCAGTTACACCACGAAGGTATGAGAAAAGGAGGGAGAAAATATATACTCCCCTTTTTAAAGGGTGACTGTGAATGAGAGAACACAATCGCCAAATCCTAAGTGGTGACAAATTATTGTCCACTGTCTCTTTTTTATTTCGGGCGTCACTTGTAGAGTCTTTGTTTAAGAATTATCCGGTGTCATCAAATTGAAGAAATCCGCAGTACTCTCACCTGAATTCGACCTGCAGACCTCCCGATTATCAGCCAAAAGTGCTATCCAGGTACACCATGAAGGTACGCGGTAAGGAGGGAGAAAATAACTTATAACTATATTCATATTATATTTTTGAATTCTATATTTTAAGCCGGCATTTTGAAGCAACTATTAATGTTTGCTAAATTACGTGTAGGATGGGCAATGTTTGCAACTAAATGCTGTTTCGGCTAAACTCAGTCTTTGATGGGAAAGGTTTTGTATAACAACTATTTTTCAGCAAATCAAATTTGCCAAAATTTGAAATTTTAATTTGTCATGCTCTTTTCCCACATAACTATTATTATTTAAATATGCTTTGAAAAGCTGGTAATAGCAAAAGATTTTTCAAGAATTTAATGTTTCAGCATATGGTTACGATATATATCATTTTACCTGTATTTTTTTAAATAATTTTTTTTTCAATTCATTTTCTCTTACAACTACTTAATAAAAACGATGTTCAAATGTTTGCAACTATTAGCTCGTTGCATTTCTTTATTTTAACCCTAAAAAAACTTTAAAGTTTTAAAACATTAAATCACATAAATTGAACAAATTCGTACAGTTGAATATAATTAAGCGTTGAAAACTATCCATAAGGTAAAATGCTATGTAAAATGGAGAAAATGAGCTTTCAGTTAAAAAAAAATAGTCAGTATGTTTCAAAAGACAAACAGCATCGTCTTCCTTCTTCAGAAAAAGTTACTGAATAAACACATTATTTAAATTAACTAAAATATATAATGCATCAGATTAAGAGATCAGGTGTCTTTAAATAGACAAAAAAAATCGAATTTTATGCTTTTACATTATTAAAATTTGATTTATTACAAGAGTTTTAAAATTAATTTCATATTCAAATTCACTTTAAAACATCCATATTAAAGTTCGCTGTATGAAATATATTTCTAAGCTTTTGTTATTTAAAGGCTCAATATAAATTTACTTATAATTTTATTTAAAATGCTTCTATATATAAATTTATATACATTTATAGTTGCGCATGACAGAAAAGTTAATCTATTAGCATATCTGTCTATATATTTTTTCATTTTAAGGAAACAACATGCTTACAAGGAATCCTTCTAGGAAATTTCCTTTTTGAATTAAGATTTCGTAAAAATGTGTTTTCTTGCTTGTGCGCATGATTTGTCTGAAATGACTAATTAGAATTTCAAGAGATTTTTTAACATTTATGTAAATACTCTATCTGTATAAAATGGCCAATTGTTATGCTTCTGACTCAAGAACGTTTAGAAATATGATAAAATTTGAAATCATATGCATATTTTGAGTCGTGATCTTTCATTGTCTCAATTAAAATTATGATAAATATGCATGCAATACTATTTAAATATATAAATATGCGTACTCACAAACTTGTAAATACACTTTATATTTATCAATAATAAAAAAAAACTGAGCATTTGCAGGATTTGAAGATAATTATATTTAATTTAAGATAATAGGGGGACCGGAAAGTAATGTCGCTTTTTTACATTAAATTCAAACGAATAAATTTGTAATAAGTTTTTATTTTTAATCAATAATATAATGACCCTCGTTATCGGCAACCTTTTGCCATATAGTATGCAGATTTCAATCCCAGACCGATAAAAATCAATTGGTTTTTAAGTAAAATATCTCGAGATGGCATTTTGAACATCATCTAAATTATCAAACTTTTTGTCACTAAGAAAATGTTGTAGGGATTGGAATAAATGGAAATCCGAGGGTGCGATATCGGGCGAATATGATGGCTGAGGCAATACCTCCCACCCCAATTCATTATATTTTTCCAGTGTTCGTCTTGCACAGTGCGGTCTTGCATTGTCGTGTTGCAGAATGACGCCTTTTCTGTTGACAATTGATATTTTTCGATTAAAGATTGGTTCACTAGATACAATTGTTCACAATAAAGGTCTACATTATCAGTTTTTCCAGGTTTCAACAATTCAAAATGAACTATTCCGCGAATACTCCATCAAACACCCAGAAGCGATTTTTCGGGATGTAAACCCTTTTAACCCTTATTAAAACTGCCTTTTGAGTTTTGGATTATCATATAGGACTTATTTTTTTGTCTCCACTAATCAAACGATCAAAAAACGGTTCTGTATGGTGCCGTTGAAGCAATACGTTGCATGTGATGGATAGGTTGGCTTTGTTCTTTTCGGACATATTATGGGGGACAGATTACTATATTGCCATATAGTATGCTGCAGATTTCAATCCCAGACCGATAAAAGTCAATTGGTTTTTGAGTAAAATATCTCTAGATGGCATTTTGAACATCATCCAAATTTTCAAACTTTTTGTCACTAAGAAAATGTTGTAGGGATCGGAATAAATGGAAATCCGAGGGTGCGATATCGGGCGAATATGGTGGGTGAGGCACCTGCTTTGCTTATTTTTCCATTCTACTTTAAATGTTCTTGGATGGTCGACCAAGGTTGGTTAAGAGTGTTTGACATGGATTTGCTTCCACTTCTGCCTTTAGCACGTTGTTGTCGGCATGCGCAGAAACGACATTACTTTCCAGTCCCCCTATTACTTCAAAACTATAATTTTCTTGCTTGCGGTCAGGATTTCTTTGAAATTGTTGGCCAGAATTACAAAAAGCTTTGATCAAGGAACTTTAATGAGTGTAAAAAGATCAACTACTATGCTTCTAACATAAAAACTTTAGAAATTACCTTTAATTTTATATTTGAAAGTAGTCAGTTTCAAGGTCAAAGAGTAAAAAAAGTTATTTTTTAACAAAATGTAATTCAATTACTTTTGCAGCAAGTAATCAAGTAATTTTAATTATACATTAGTTTATTAATTCGAATAAAATCAACTTAAAATCGGGATTTCTTTACCCATAAAATTGCACGTAGTACACATCACATTTTATGTCGATGAAGAAGAACGTATCTTATTTTTATTTGGTTGAAAATATTTTAATGCCTGCAACGTAAACTAAAAGCACAAATGCGACATTAAAAATTTCGAAATAAGCGCACAAAATTCCACGAAGATAAACAAGTTAGTTATACACATATTGAGCTGTAAAGCTGTTACAGTTTTGACATTTTAAAGGTACCTAACCTTTTAAATTACTAAACTTCTTTCGCTGGTGAATTACATTTAGCAAATGAAGCAACTCTCTGGTTTAACAGGCTTACCAATGTAGTTAACTACGCGGTGCTATTATCTCCATAAGGTTAAATTACATGAGCAAAGGTTTATAAAACCCTTTGAGTTATGTAGACTGGAATCAAAATCATTAACGTAAAAACCGATTTCGATGGATGTAGAAAATCTAATCTCCTAACGTATTTTTGATAATTTTTAACAAAAAAAAAAAAAAAAAAAAAAAAAAGGGAAAAGAATGTGGCTAACAACGATTGAAAAAGGGAGATTTTATTTATCCCTCTTTTTATGGTACGCATTTCTTGCTTTTTAGCGTGACATTTTAAGTATTTGTTAGTTACCAGTCAATATTAAATCACATTGGCAACAATGCTATAAGTATGGTCAATGGCACAGTCTAATATATTAAGGACCACGAATCTTACAAAAGAAAGAAAGAAATATTAAACTCTGAGAATCCATGAAGTTTTGTAACTAACAAACTGAAAGTAAAAACGTTAACTAGATCTGGAGTCGATGTCTTAATTTTATTACCTCAGAACTAAATGCAACCATTATTTAAAAATTAAAATTGCAGAAAATCAGCATTATTTTAAAATTAAATTTACGAATTCTTTAGTATAATTAAAATATACTAAAATGGCATACTTTTACACAATAAAAAGTTTTTCATTTCAAAGCTTCTTTATTTAAAAGCTTTGAAATGAAAAACTTACTATTACACTATTTTCTTCCTCCTCTCCGCATGCTTTCGTGTTGTAACTGGAAGCATACTCGACACGTATTCGAGAGGTTCAGGGTTCGAGTCTCAGCAAAGGCATTGCTCATTTTTCATGTCTCCTGCTTCGAAATAACCTAATGACACTACAACAAATTAGTTTTTCGTTGATATTCATTTTCCCTAATTGCGGTTTAAAGTGCGTAAGATAAACTAATACATAAATTAATAAATGTATGTATATAACTGTTACCTTTCCAAACGAAGCAGCATTCACAGGCTGCATGAAATTCTTTGCACAAAAGTCAACATAATGCATATAAAGAGTACTTCTTGGTATGCATACACCTTCTGCTGTTTCATAGTTCTCTTCCAACCTACAAATATTTTCGGGGGAAAGAGAAAAACATAAATAATTTATCGTTTTTACGAGCTGCTTCGTAGAGAAATCAATGCAAGTTTAAATAGAATAATATACTAATATTATGTATGTGCCGTTGAACGTTTGATTTTCAGGAAAATACATTTTCTGCTTGGATACTTTTCTTCTTAATACTAATATCTTTATGCTCAAAATCGATACTGTTATCAGATTATAATACTACCTGTAACTATATCAGACTATCTAAAAAATCTCCGCCGTTTCGAACAGTATGGTGGTTAGCGAAGACCGACTGTGCACAGCGTTTTATCTCCCCTTCGAATCTCGAGCCAGCTGAGGTATTTTCAATTTAGTGTCTTTACCGATGAGGGTACTTAAAATATGTCTGCCCAAAAGTAGTTTCGAGAGATTAGCGGTGTGAAAAAAATTTCTCAAAACATCTGCAATTTTTGCCTTGGGGGATCTGATACCTATTGCCTCTTGGAAAACGGAACAATAACTTTTCACAATTCAGTAGATTGAGACGAATGAACTCGGTTTCTCAGACTGTATAGTTAGCCATTCATTAGCTAACTTAGGAGTCAAACAATAAAAAATCTCCGTTATATTTGCAAATGCGGTAGATCCTGCGTCAGATGTGCAAGGTTTGCCCGTATAGAATCGCTTCTTATTAGTCTTTGGCGATGCAGCCACTCGATTTGATGTTTCATTGATATTCTTAGCACGCATGACAGTCGATGGAACATGGTCGTGGGGTTTTACAGCATCTTTTATCATCGGTCCTTACCTTTACGAGGAAAATCGGGAAAGTGGACCAGTGACCTGTACCGTTACTTCTGACAGTTATGCCGATATGCTGAAGAACTGCGTGGTTCCTCAACTGAAGCTACGAGTCCACCTGTGTTGATTCGACAATATTCATGCAGGATGTTGCACCCCCCATCCACACACGCATTTGACTTGTATTGAAGCAACATTTCTTAGACAGCAGAGTCATTAGTCACAGTATGGCCACCGAGGTCATACGATCTCAATCCTTGTGAATTTTGGTTGTAGGTACTTCTTAAATGTGGTGTGTATCAAGGACATGTCCCCGATATAGCAACTCTAAAAGATCGAATAACGTTACAAGTGAGACAAATTAATTTCGGTATGCTGCGAGCCACCGTGGAAAAATGTCGTGCAACGTATGCAGTTCTTGGAATACCACAGTGATGTCCAAATTGGATCTCATCTGTAAGTAATAATCATTTGTTGTTAATAAAATTGATGTGCAATGCCTCGTTTGGCATCTAATAATTCATTATTCACACTAATACACTTTTGCAGCCTACCCTTTTTTTTCCACTAGAGGATGTTATTATCCAGTTATATCACTGGCTGTTAATGATATCAACATGTTCGGGGTTTAATGGAAAGCGCCTCTGAAGTTTTTAATTGTGCCACTTCATGCGTTGGAAATATTTATTACAATCTTCGTTCACAAGTGAACCAATGGAAAAAAACTACTCTGAAATAGTCTTATTTAATGTTAAATTTACCTGTATAAGAAGAAATTTAATAGCTTAATATACTTTGCAGTTGTTAGTTTTAGTTTAATAGTTTAATAGACTTTGCAGTTGTACCAATAAATCGAAAATATTCCAAATTAGTAAACCAGATACTTGATGCTAAGATTGAAAATTAGGAGAATTAAATTTTAATTGTCAAAATGAAATTCACAAAGTTCAAACATAGAAGTCTTAAGTTAAGCCAAAAATAAAACTTGATGAATAATTATACTACACTAATAAATGAAAACGAAATCAATTAAATGGAAAACAATATGAAATTGCCATAATTTTTCATGTATTTTCTACGAGTAAACGCGAAACATAATGGAGAAATATGCAGCAGCTAGAAATATTTTAATTAACTCAGCATTTTCACCAAAGAGGCGACCAGTTAATGATTGCATGTTTAATTTTAGCTGAAGTAAAACAAAGTATGGTATGTGATGAAAATAGATGGCGCTAGAGAGGGAGAGTTTCCTAATTTAAATTGAATTTAAATAGTTTGAAATTAAAACTAAATTTTAATTTGATGCGACATAAAATATGATGACCGCATTTGTACAGAAAGAAAAAGCAGTTGTCATAGCCGATTGAATATTTCTTTATTCTTGCCAAAACATTTTTGAAGTAGAGTTAAACAGCTAAACCGGTGCAAAACATGCTCCTGATCTTCAACAATTACATCAACTTTTCACATTTTTATAATACATTTGAGGTAAGGAAGGGGAAAGGAGGACAACATGTTAACAAGACAGAAATGTTAAGAAAAAGTCTGTTGATTCCAATAAGGACGTTAGAGAAGTTATAAGCTATAATTTTATATCTATTGGTTAATTAAGGTTTTCATTTTCAAAACTTAACAATATTAGCAGCTAAAAGACTTCTTGCGTTGAGCGTTATAATAAGAATCATATGATAGGATTAATTTTGAAATGACACAATTCACAGAAATTTATTATAAGCACGTTACTATTTTTAGGACAGAAAGGAAAATAACTAAATTAAGTAGAAAACTTAAGGGGCTATTGCTGTTCCCAATAACAGGCGGAATCTTGCTCTCCTTGTTACGATGATTTTCGTTGGCTTATTCTGTATCACTGTCAAACAAGTGAGATAAGTTACAACGCAACACAAAAAATACCTAGCAAAAATGTAAAGGCAGGTAAAGGGGACTGAAAATAGCAGATTTTGGAATGGAATGTGTGCGGAAGTGGTGAAAGTGAAGGAATACAGGGTGCTATTGAGCAGGAGATAAAAACGTTCAGCGTAAATCATCATTCCTCGTGTGAATTTCGAGAAGTACTCATTAGATTTCGCCTATATGCATTTTATCAATGGCGCTGAAGACAGAAATGGACCAGCTGCTGAAAAAAGATCCTCTGGAATCGTTTTTTGTACCAATATTTCTAGGGAATTTCTTCAATATTTCTTTATTAGGATGTTAAGCTGTAACTGTTAGTTGCTTCAGGCAAACTCTTCAGGCAGACTCGCGGGTTTTTCAATTTCGCTTTGTGCAAAAAGGGAATAAAATGAATTTTTATTTGTTATTTATACGTTAAGTTGTTTTGTATCCCGTCTACAATTTTTTCTAACGGTAATACATTTTGAAATTCTTGCAACTAGGAATTTAAGTTGATACCCATTTGATATCAAGATTTTGAGCCCATGATGGTAAACTGAACTATCGACATTCAGCAACCAACTTTTATATTTTTCTGTTTAAGGATGGAATTTGATACTGCGAATTTGATCATGTGACAGCTGAGTCACGTAACTGATTTAATTTCGTAATCGTGCAAAGGACGCCATTTACAGCTGAACTAGAATATTTTCCCTTTCTTTTTTTTATTTCGATAAGGAGCTAATGTTTTCAGCATGATAAGAATCTCTCCGTTTCGAATTAAAAGATCAAAAACACGATAAGGATATATTCCCAGTCGAAGATTAGACTTTTCATTTATCTTCGAGGTTAGACTTAGGTTAGGTTGTTTGGTTTATGACAAAGCACACGAGGAGTGTCTTCCTAAGGAAACAGATGGCCTTCCTGCAGAACTTTTTAAGTGAAACTGGCACAGATTCACGTTTCAAATGGGAAAAACTATGAAAATCAAATTTGTAGCCACCTTAATCCGTTGGTTTGATTTGGCTTATTTAACTATAGTAAAGCACTCTAAAGCTATCTGCCTAAGGGAAGGGATGATTTCGTGGAGGATTTTCTAAGGAAAACTAGCTCGTATCTAAGTTGCACATGCGGAATCCACGAAAACACCCATGCAATCACCCCATTCGCCTGGAATCGAACTCAGGTCGAACCACCAGTGATCAACAGCCTTAACCACTTGGCCACTAATAGGGACTCGATACTAATTAGTTGTTTACCGGTGTAAAAAGAGGATCAATTTAAAAGTCATTTCACTTGACATCTTATCATTTTACAACAAGTAATATTTTATAGTATTATTAAAAAGGGTTTACTGTCTTCTGTAGTATTATAATGTCCTAAAGGACGTCCAAAATAAAATATTATGGTTGTAATGAAATTTGGTTACAATATGCAGATTGAAAGCCTCCGAATATACATCCTTTTTTCTCCAGTTTTTTTCAAATAATAATGTACTTCATCAATATACTGATATTTTGTTTGTTTATATTAAAGTATTCTAAAAATGTTTCAGAAATAAACACCAAAGGCTTGAAAATTAAAATTCTCTTCGAGTTGAATTTTTATTTTATTCATTACAAGATTATTTTATATGCAGAAAGTGTAGACATTAGTTTTACCTAAAAAGAGGAGAGAAATATTTGTAAAGATTTATGTCTCTTAACATTTTTGCATATTTTGTAATTTTTGTCTTTTTAAAATTTAAGTTAAACTCTTCTTTGCATTAGATTATTGAAGTCTTCATACCGTTAGTTAACTTTTAACACCGAAAAGACATTTCATTGTTATCATTTAATATTCAAAGTCCTGTTCTTGTGAAACAAACTCATACACAAAATCGTGCCATGGATTGACTGAAAAAAGGAAATGAATTTGAAAATGGACCTTAGGAAGTTCTGCCTTTAGGATGAATATGCGAAATGTATGAACTTTAATTTATTTTCGATACAGTCTAGCGCATAACTTCCTGTCAGAGTGTTATCATTCATCTAAGCATACGATATTTAATTTACGTTTCAAATTTAATCAGTGTATTTTTGATTAACAGTCTGAGAGTCATAAAAGCAGCAAACGCTTTTTTTTAAATATTTAAGTTCTTTATTTAACTTTTTTAGTAATTCATATAATTGCTATTAATTAAATAATTTAAAATATAATATCTTCAACTCATAATTAAGGGATTTATGAACCCATTGTAATTAATAAAAGTTACTTCTTAACGGCATAAGTAACTGGTAGCGAATAATCAATTTTACAAAAACTGTGAGCACCTTTTAACTT